GAGAAAGGGAAAGAGGGATAAGGGCATGTACGTTAACCAGCAGATTCTTCAGGACATGGACGTTCCAGACGCATTCCTGCAACGATTGCCCAAGGTAAATGTCTTGAAAAGAGGGGAGGGAGGAAGAGCGGGGGGGAGAAGACATGTCGGATCATGAAGGCGTGCATGTTCGTCAACCAGCAGATTCTTCAGGAGATGGATGTTCCAGATGCCTTCTTGCAACGACTTCCCAAGGTATGTGTGTGGGTGAGATGGTGGGAGCATAAGTGGGGCACGCACGGGCAGGTGGGTGGAGCAGCAGCAGCAGGCGTGCATGTTCATCAAGCAGCCAACTCTTCAGGACATGGATGTTCCAGACGCATTCCTGCAACGACTGCCCAAGGTATGTGCTTGGGAGAGGGGGGAGAGAGGTTGGTGGTGAGGGAAGGTGTGAACCACCCTAAACCGTGTGGTGAGAGAAGGTGTGGACCACCCTAAACCGTGTGGTGAGAGAAGGTGTGGACCACCCTAAACCGTGTGGTGAGAGAAGGTGTGGACCACCCTAAACCGTGTGGTGAGCGTGGGGAGGTAGCGGGAGCAGCAGGCGGAGGAAACGAGTGAGATGATGAAGGCGTGCATGTTCATCAATCAGCAGATTCTTCAGGACATGGACGTCTTTTGAGGCGCCTCAAAAGATTCTTCAGGACATGGACGTCTTTTGAGGCGCCTCAAAAGATTCTTCAGGACATGGACGTCTTTTGAGGCGCCTCAAAAGATTCTTCAGGACATGGACGTCTTTTGAGGCGCCTCAAAAGATTCTTCAGGACATGGACGTCTTTTGAGGCGCCTCAAAAGATTCTTCAGGACATGGACGTCTTTTGAGGCGCCTCAAAAGATTCTTCAGGACATGGACGTCTTTTGAGGCGCCTCAAAAGATTCTTCAGGACATGGACGTCTTTTGAGGCGCCTCAAAAGATTCTTCAGGACATGGACGTCTTTTGAGGCGCCTCAAAAGATTCTTCAGGACATGGACGTCTTTTGAGGCGCCTCAAAAGATTCTTCAGGACATGGACGTCTTTTGAGGCGCCTCAAAAGATTCTTCAGGACATGGACGTCTTTTGAGGCGCCTCAAAAGATTCTTCAGGACATGGACGTCTTTTGAGGCGCCTCAAAAGATTCTTCAGGACATGGACGTCTTTTGAGGCGCCTCAAAAGATTCTTCAGGACATGGACGTCTTTTGAGGCGCCTCACAAGATTCTTCAGGACATGGACGTCTTTTGAGGCGCCTCAAAAGATTCTTCAGGACATGGACGTCTTTTGAGGCGCCTCAAAAGATTCTTCAGGACATGGACGTTCCAGACGTGTATGGAGTGACAAGACTGTGGCATGGCGGTGTCAATTAAACTGCTGTTTTTCTACGTGGATTAACCAGCTTCTGTTTCCCAACCCCCACCGTCCTTCAAATCTCCCCTTCCCCTCCCTGTCTCCCCTCTCCGTTCCTCTCCCCATCTCCCCTCTCCTCTCCCTTCCCCATCTCCCCTCACCTCTCTCCTCTCCATCTCCCCTCTCCTCCTGTCTCTCCCTCTCCTTTCCACACAGAGCTTGAAGACAATACTGGGAGACAGGGTGTACAGTGTGCTACTCTCAACGCCTTATAACGAGGATAAAGTGCTCAGCGCAGTTGATTTGAGCAATCAAAGGGCGGCTTTAAAACTGGCATGCAAGATGGAAGCAGCACAGCAAATCTGGATCAGGCAGCTTCAAACAGCCAGGTATGTGTGGTTCAGTGCGGTGCATTGTGGTATGATGCGCTCCAGTGCTGTCGTGTGAGGTGCTGTGCTCGTAAGGCGGCATTAAAGCTCGCTTGCAAGATGGAAGCAGCACAGAAGATTTGCATCAGGCAGCTTCAGGCAGCCAGGTACAACGTGGTTTAGAGTGGTTCAGTGAGGTGGATTGTGTGTGGCAGCTTCCCCTTTCTCCCCACACACCCCGCTTGCTTTCCCTTGAACTCAATCCTCCCGCCAATTCCCCACTTTCCCCCTTCGCGCCCTCTTCCTGACTTTCTTCCCAAACAATCCGGTCTCTGCTCGTTTCTTCCATTGAATGGCAATTTTTTTTGGGCGCTTCGAAAGTTTGTCCCGTTGCTCCCATTGGATGGCAGTCATTGTCCAACCCATGTTCCAAAAATAACATCCTTATCTGTAAATACGCCCTACTTGTGAGATGCTCAGACCCAACGCTCTTCCCCGCCCCCCGGCCCCCCCCCTTTCTTCCCCTCCATCCTTCACATTTTCACCCCGGATGACGAACAACACAGGTCAACACAGAAGTCAACTCTTCCCCCATCTCCCCCCCTTGCCCCCCTTCCCTTCGCTCCCCCTCCTCTCGCCCCTCTCCTTACCCTCCGTCCTTCACAATTCCACCCTGCTTGTCGGCCAACTCAGGGAGCCCTATCTCACGCACACGCTGGGCGGCAGTTATTTGTCCACTAGCAGCCGCGAGATCATGCGGTTGGAGGAGAATCTGGAGCGGGTGGCAGCGTGTCTCGCTGCCATCCGCCGCATGTGGCCCGACCTCCCCCAAACCACTCTGGACCTCGCCAAAATCGCATTCAACCGGGTACGAATACCTTGTGTAAAATGTCTGGTCATGATTCGGCAGTGGGGGGGGGGGGGGAGTGGTATCATGCGTGCCTCGCTGCCATTCGCCGCATGTGGTGGGCCCACCTCCCCTCCAGACCACTCTGGACCTCGCCAAAATCGCTTTCAACCGGGTACGAATACCTTCTGTAGGGTGTCTGGTCATGGTTTGCCAGTGGGAGGGAGGAAGTGGCAGCGTGCCTCGCTGCCATCCGCCGTATGTGGCCCGAACTCACCCAGACCACCTTGGACCTTGCCAGAATCGCATTCAACCGGGTGAGTGTGCTGATCCAATCCGCCTAACAACGTCCGGTTAGGCTCTTTGTCCTGAGCTCTCTTTCCTGGCCTCTCTTTCCTGGCCTCTCTTTCCTGGCCTCTCTCTGCAAAGCAGACCCCCTCTTCAGCACCTGCGCCAACCCACCTTCCCCTCGACATCCGCTCTCTCCCTCCCTCCATTCTCCCTGGTGATCTCCCCCCTGCTCTCCCTGCCCCCACCACCATGCCATCAGGACATCGGCAAGGCAGTTCTAGAAAGCTACTCTCGAGTGCTCGAAGGGGCTGCCTCTAACATCCGAGCGCGCCTGCGAGACGTGCTTCACGCAGATCACCTTTTCAACAACCCCCAGCTCTTCCCCTTGCAAGACGCGCCCTCAGACCCTCGCCCGCAGCACCTGCGCCACCCCACCTTCTCTCTCCTCATGCCAGACACTGTCTTTGACGCGGTTTCAGTTTCTGGAGGGAGTGAATCTTCAGCAAGTATTCGCAGCTTTGAGTCGAGCAGGAGTGGGAGCAGCGGGAAGGGCGGGAGGCATTTCCGGGGTGGGAGTATGGTGTCGGATTCGGGAGTATCGAGCCCTGGCGGGGGTGGGGGTGGAGGTGGAGGTTCAGGTGGGATTTCAAGTGGGAAGTCAGGTGGTGGGAGGTGGGACATGCGGCCGCCCAGGAGTCCCGAGTTGCGGACTTCGTCTGTAGCGCCGGCAGGTATGAGCCGGTTGGGTGGGAATGGGAGCGGTGGAAATGGGAGCAGCAGCGGGATGAGTTTCCGGGATCGGTTTCGGAGCGCCACTCTAGCAGCCCCCACCACCAGCACTGCTGCCGCCACTACCGCTGGTGCTGCTGCTGATGCTGCTGGTGGTGGTGCCGCTGGTGATGCTGCTGCTGCTGGTCCTAGGTCTGGTGTGATGGGGTATTCCCAGTCACTACCAGCACACGAGCCCAAGCAGCAGCAGCCGTACCTACGCAGAACAGGGTCGTTTCAACCAACCTCCCAGAGCCGAGTTGGGGTGATGCGGACGGTAAGGAGGAGTCAAAGCGGGGGGTTGGAGGAGGAGGTAATGCGGCTGAAGCTTGAAGCAGGGGAGGCTGGAGGGGACTCGCCTGTCCTGACAAAGACCCCAGGGTTCGTGCTTGTGTCAGCGTCGCAGAGTGGTGGTGGTGGCGGTAATTCGGGGGGTTCCTCTTCACGACCGCCCCACCCACCCAATCGCTCCGCTAGTGGTGATTGGACGTAACATGGTGAACGTTACGGTAATATACGTTTTTCATTCCTAGAGTAGACCAATCGAAATGTCGGTTTCTTGTGGAAATACGTTGAGAGCTGTCGTGCATTATTAATCAACCAATCTATATATGTTGTAGACGGAAATCCGGAGACAATAGTTGTCAGCTGAATGCTGAATGGATAAATTCCTATAACCTTTGGGAAGAAACAAATGTTGACTCGACAGTGTACTGCATCATTTTTTGGGCATAGGATCCTGGGTGACAGTGCAGGCTACCCCCTGTGCCCAGGGTACCTTGGGCTATTATGAAAAGGGTTAGTAAGAACACTGTAGAATCACATTTCGACTCAAATGGGTGTTACCACTGAGAACTGACGCGCTAATTAGCAAACACAATGCTGTAGGCACTACCAAACAAATGACGCGTCCTTCAATTCGAAATATCGAAGGGGATTGAGTTGCATGTCACATACCGGAACCTCACAATGTGAAAGTGTTGTCACCACCGTATAACAATGTTCAAAAGTATATACTGTAGTCCACACTCCACACCCACTAGAGAAATGTAACACCAGCATGGTTTAGTAGTCACAACTCCCCATTCTCCCAAACTCGGCAACAATCCCACTTAGTGCTTTCTCCTAGCCTCCTCTCTCCCCCATAAACCTCCACTCTTCAACACCCTCCCTCCCTCCCTCTCCCCGTCCCTGTAAGGTGCTTCTACTGTCGTTCCCCCTCTGCCTGAATGATGTACACAACAGCCGCTAATCCTATCACTACTCTAGCTTAAGTTTCTGAATCCAGAATCCTCTCATTGCCTCGCTTATCCTATCACTTACTCATCCTCCCGTTCCCTCATTCGCCCTACCACCCTCTTGCTCATCCCGTTAGCCCCATCATCCCAATCACACCACCAAATCCCGAACCCCCCCAAGCGGATTGCACCCCCCATGCTGGCTTGGGTGCTGCTGCTGCCTCCACAGCTGGTGCTGCCGCTGGTGGTGCTGCTGGGACAGCAACAGGCGCAGGAGCAGGCACAGGAGCAGCAGGTACAGCCGCAGCAGCAGGGGCAGCGGCAGGGGTGGCGGCAGGAGCAGCAGGAGCAGCAGGGGCAGTAGCAGCGGGGCCAGCGCCTCCTTTCCTCCCTGCCCCCCGCTCCTGTTTCTTCCCAGCGGCACCTGGAGCGGCAGCAGGCACAGCGGCTGCTGCAGCAGCAGCAGCAGCTGCGGCAGAGGCGGCAGCGGCAGAGTTGGCGGCTCCTGCCTGAATGGCAGCATACTCTTGGTGCACCTGAGAGGGGGTGGCGGGGAAGGGAGGGGAGGGAGGGGAGGATTGAGTTGAGAGGGAAAGAAGGTGTGTGTGAGGCATGCGGCCTGGAGCGGCCAAGGCAGCAGCTGGATTGGCCGCGCCTGCTTGGATGGCAGCATACTCTTGGTGTACCTGAATGGGGGGGAGCGGGGAGGGGAAGGAGGGAGGATTGAGTTGAGAGAGGAGGGTATGGAGTATGAGAGCAGTAGCAACTGCAGCTGCAGAGGCAGCGGCAGAGTTGGCGGCGCCTGCTTGGATGGCAGCATACTCTTGGTGTACCTGATAGGGGGTAGAGGGGAGGGGAGGGAAGGAAAGGTTTGAGACGGAAAGAAAGTGGAGAATGGGGCTGAAGCAGCAGGATCGCTGTAATCTCATTCTCACCTGGTGCAGCGTGATGCTTATCTGCTGCAGGAAGTCATTGACTGATGGCATGGGCGGCAGCAGCGCCACTGCTGGTGAGTGCACAGCCATGTCCTTGTAACAGCACACAAGGCACTTATGCTTCACTGCACCCACTCGCCCACATGCATACCTGGTGCAGCGTGACGCCTATCTGCTGTAAGAAGTCGTTGACTGATGGCATGGGCGGCAGCAGCGCCACTGCCGACCGCAGCTGCGGCTTCTGCAGCGCTGCTTCCAGCGCCTCTGCCTCCGCCATCACTGACTGGACCTCAGAAACACGGGTCTGATGTTACGGAGAGTAGGGGGCAAGGGGTAAGGGGGACAGGAGGGCATAGAAGGGGGCATGTGAGGACTTGAATGCAGCAGCGGAGGCTTCTGCGGCGCTGCTTCTAGCGCCTCTGCCTCCGCCATCACTGACCGGACCTCATTCACTCGGGTCTGGTTTTTGGAGGGGTAAGGGGGAAAGGAGCGCATAGGAACGGGCAGGTGGGCATGGGAGTGCAACAGCTTAGGCTTCTGCAGCGCTGCTTCCAGCGCCTCTGCCTCCGCCATCACAGACTGAACTTCATTCACTCGGGTCTGACGTTGAGAGGGATCAATGGTACCGGGTAAGAGGGACAGGAGAGCATAAAGGGGGGAGGTGAACACAGGAAGGCAGCAGCTGCGGCTTCTGCAGCGCTGCTTCTAGCGCCTCTGCCTCTGACTGAACTTCGTTCACTCAGGTCTGACATTAAGATGGGAAAGGGGTAAGCAGGACAGGAGAGCATAGAAGTGGGCAGGTGAGCACAGGAGCACAGGAAGCACAGGTGGTTGTGTGGGCGGATCAACCACCCAGAAAATCACCCTGCCCTGCAATTACCCTGCCATACAATCACCCTGCACCACCATGCACCACCATGCACCACCCTGTACCACCCTGCACCATGCATCACCATGCCCCACCCTGCATCACCATGCCCCACCATACATCACTGTGCCCCACCATGCCCCACCATGCACCACCATGCATCACCGTACCCCACCATGCCCCACCATGCACCACCATGCACCACCCTGCACCACCCTGCACCACCGCACCTTGTGCATCTGCTCAATGGCTTGCAGTGGCCTCGTGAGAGCTGCGGCCTGCCAAAGAGCAAAAGCGGGGAGGAGGGAAGAGGAACGAACATGGGAGAGGGTGGAAGAGGAACGAACATGGGAGAGGGGAGGAAGGGGAATGAACATGGGAAAGGGGAGGAAGGGGAACGAACAAGGGAGATGGGAGAATGGGAGAGAAAATGGGAGAGGGAAGGAAGTGAAACAGAACTTATCCAGCAGCATGACAGGCAGTGGTGCAAAACCATGATGACCCAGCAGCAGCGTGACACCCCATTCCCCCACAAGACGACTCACCAGCTGCGGCTTGCCCTTCAGAGCGTCCTTCTCAGCCTTCATCTTCTGCAGCTTCTCCTGTGAGAATTGCAGTCGCTCTCCAGCTCTGATGGTGTGGGGGGGTAGGAGGGGGGGGGGGGGGGGGGGGGGGGGGGGAGGGTTGGGGAGGATGGGGCAGGGTGTGAGGGAGAACGCAGAGAAAGAGCATCCTTCTCCCCCTTCACCTTCTGCAGCTTCTTCTAGGAGAACTGCAGGAACAATGGCACAAGGGCCAAGGCCAAACCGAGAACGACCAAAAAGGCTTACGATTTGAGCTGGTCCAGCTTGGCATGCAGCAGAGTGGAGAGCGCACTGAGATGATTCTCCACTGCCTGCCCCCTGCCCCTCAGCTAGCCATGACTTGAACATCAACTGTGGAACCCGAAACGCTACGTCACCTGTGGAACCCAAAAGGGTCGCTTCACCTATGGGAAAACAAGGGGCTTACGATTTGAGCTGGTCCAGCTTGGCGTGCAGCAGGGCGGAGAGCGCACTGAGATGATTCTCCACTGCCTGCCCCACCACCGCCATCACTGCCGCCTCGCGGTCGGGGGCGCCCTGCGAGTGTGTGGGTAAGGGAGAGGAGTAGTTGAGTTGTGAGGTACCTCAACATCTGGCTGGCGTGCAGCAGGGCGGAGAGCGCACTGAGATGATTCTCCACTGCCTGTCCCACCACCGCCATCACTGCCGCCTCCCGATCGGGGGCGCCCTGTGAGTGGGAGAGAGGGAGTGGAGGAGGGGAGGATCGGGCAGGAAGGGGGAGAGGGGTGGGGCTAGGAGCGGGCAGGAAGGGGGAGAGTAGGGAGATAGGCTGGAAAATAGGGGGTGGGACTTTCTCCTTCGCTCCTTCACTCCTTCGCTCCTTCACTCCTTCGTTCCTTCACTCCTTCGTTCCTTTCTCTGTTTCTCTTGCTCTCACAAGGCCCTCCTCACTCTTCATCCACTCTCTCCTGTTTGAAGAAGTGTTTTGAGACGTCTCAAAACACTTCTTCAAGCAGTGCTGCAGGTCCTGTCCACAGCTGCTACCATGTGTTTGAAGAAGTGTTTTGAGACGTCTCAAAACACTTCTGCTCTCACAAGGCCCTCCTTACTCTTCATCCACTCTCTCCTTCTTTCCTTCTCTTTTTCTCACCGAGAAGGGAACTCCAGCGTGCCTTGGCAGGGGCATGTGCGGGCGCTGCAGCACGGACTCGACTCGAGAGCATGCACCACCCCCAGCTGCTGCTGCCCGCCCCTTGCCATCCTTACCAGCGCATCCCATTCCCTCTCACTTCGCACTCTCACTCACCGAGAATGGTCCTCCAGGGTGCCCTGGCAGGGGCATGTGGGGGCGCTGCAGCACAGACTCGAGAGCATGCACCACCCCCAGCTGCTGCGCACACCGCAGCTGGTGCAGCTGCTCTGGCGTCAGCTGTGGCCCCTCCTGCCCTTGCTGCCCCTGCTGCTGCTCGGGTTGAACCACTGCTACTGGCGCTACTGGTGCCGGGACCCCGTTCTGGGCTGCTGCTGCTGCAGGGGACTGGGTGGGGGGGACAAGAGGGTAGGGGAGAAAAGGGAAGGAAAGGGGCGGGAAGGGGAGAAAACGGCAGGGGAAAGGGGAGGGTAGGAGGGAGGGAAGGGAGGAGAAGCAAGGGGAGATAGCACGAAGTCATGAACGGACTCGAGACGAGAGCATGCACCACTCCCAGCTGCTGCGAACACCGCAGCTGGTGCAGCTGCTCTGGCGTCAGCTGCGGCCCCTCCTGCCCTTGCTGCTGCTGCTCGGGTTGATTAGCTGCTGCTGGTGCAGGGACTCCGTTCTGGGCTGCTGCTGCTGCTGCTGCAGCTGCAGGGGACTGGATGGGGGGAGAAGGGGGTTAGGGGAGAGTAGTGGAGAGGAGAGAAGGGACGGAGAGGAGGAGAGACAAGGAATCAATGGGAGTGAAGGGAAGAACTGGAGAGAAGAGGCGAAAAGGGAAAAGAAGGGGAGAGAAGGGAGAAGGAGAGCAAATAAGGGAGAAGGGGAGAGAACGGGAGAGAAGGCGAGAAGGGGAGAGACAAAGGGAGAGAAGGAGAGACGGGGATGAACATTCAATCCAGCACCCTCAACGACTCGTCCTCACGAGTTTCGGACTCTGCCCCATTGCTTCTGCCTCTAGGTGACTTTTGAGTCGACTCAGAAGTCACTTCGGACTCTGCCCCATTGCTTCTGCCTCTACCTCTGCAGCCTTTCTCCCTGACATACACAAGGCAAGTCTGAACTCACCTGAACTCCTGCTCGGGTTGAATAGCTGCTCCTGCCCTTTCTCCCTGACATACACAAGGCAAGTCTGAACTCACCTTCGCACCGTCAGCAGCAGCAGCAGCAGCAGAGGCAGCAGCCAACACCTCCTCAAGCTGCTTCCGCCTCGCCTCTGCATCCAGCCACAGCACCCGCAGCCTCGATGCCTCTGCCTCTGACTCACCATCCTTTCCTTCCAACAAACACAAGTCAACTTCGAACTCACCTTTCCACCACCGCCAGCAGCAGCAGCAGAGGCAGCAGCTAGCACCTCCTCCAGCTGCTTCCGCCTCGCCTCTGCATCCAACCACAGCACCCGCAGCCTAGATGCCTCTGCCTCTGCTGCCTCCACCTGGCCCCTCAGTTTGGTACTCTCCGCTGCTGCTTCTTCTACCTTCTTCCTCGCCTCCTCCACTGCAGCTGCCCCTGCTGCTGCCCCACCTGCTGCTGCTGGTGCTGCTTTGCCCTTGTCTCCACCCCCCTTCTTCCCGCCCTTCTTCCCTCCCTTGCCTCCTCCCCCTTGCGTCTCCCACACGCCCTCCTCCGCTCCCCCTCCCACACCACCACTACCAACCGCAGCAGCGGCACCTTTCCCACCCGCTGCCCCCCCTGCAACCGCTGTGGTAACCAGCTTCCCAGCTTTCCCCTGAGCGGCTGAGCTAAGTGTCGGTGGGAGTTTTTTCCGCCGGACAATTTCTGCTGTGAGGTCACGCACAGACTGCAAAGCTTGGGCGGCGGCAGCGGCGGCTTCGGCTGCAGCAGGTGAGGTGGTCTCGGCTGGAGACGGCGTTGGGGATTGCAGGCTGGAAAGGAGGAGGTTGATTCGTGACTCTGTTATGTTCACCAGCTGGGATAGTCTCCTGCGAAGGGAGTATCAAAGGGGAAAGAGGCAGCACAAAGCGGATAGAAATAGGGAGAGAAACGGATTCGGCAGGGAAGGGCGCTGGGGATTGCAGGCTGGAGAGGAAGAGGTGGGCAGCACAGGGCAGCACAGGGCAGCACAGGGCAGCACAGGGCAGCACAGGGCAGCACAGGGCAGCACAGGGCAGCACAGGGCAGCACAGGGCAGCACAGAGCAGCACAGAGCAGCACAGAGCAGCACAGAGCAGCACAGAGCAGAGGGGAGCACAGAAGAGCAGGCGGGAGCAGAGCACAGCACAGCAGGGCAGAGAGGAACGGAGCAAGGCAACGCAAAGCACGTACACGCCACGAGCTGCTGCCCCGCCCTCCTCTGCTGCTGCCGCGCCTCCCACTGCTGCCGCTGCTGCTGCTCCTCCTGCTGCGATCAGCTGCAGCTGATGCTCCATTGACGCAGCCTGGATAAGGGCAAAAGCGAGGCAGGGGTAAATGGGGCGAATACGCATTTGCTAGTGTTTTGAGAGTGCGGTGCTGCTGATCTCAAAACACTTCTTCAATCAAGTGCGATGCTGCTGATCCCCAGTCCCTTTGCCTAGGCGAATCCCGAAGCTGAAACTCCGCACACCCTTCCGTCCTCAACCCTTCTGCACAGCCCCCAGTTCGAGGTGACTTTTGAGTCGACTCAAAAGTCGTCCCAAAGCTGAAACTCCAAACACCCTTCCGTCCTCAACCCTTTTGCCCAGCCCCCCATTTCTTTGTAACCCTTTCTGCCTTCACCATATCCCCTGGGTTACCTTGGTCTGCATCTCCTGCAGCTTTGAGGACACACCCGCGTCACCAAGCTGAGCAGCGATGCGCTCCACTGCCCACCCTGACCCGCCCAGCTGCACGCACAAGAAACGGGCGGAGGGAGGATAGAAGAGTTTCTTAGGCGTCTTAACAACGTAGCCACAAAAACAGGGCCTGCTTCGAGTTTTGAGACGTTTCAAAACCGCCCCCTTCACACGCACCTTCACTGCAGTCACAGCAGCAGCCAGAGCTTTGGCGGCCGCACCACGCACATCCCCTCCCGCTGCCCCCAAGCCCGAATAAGATGTAAGATAAGTCAAAACAGAGAGAAAACCACCCCTTTTAAACGCACCTTCACTGCAGTCACAGCAGCAGCCAGAGCCTTAGCAGCTGCGGCACGCACATCCCCTCCCGCTGCTCCCTTGCCCGCAGATCCACCTGTGAGGCCCAGGGTGTCGCCTTCCTCAGATAGCACCTGAGACAGGTCCGATGCCACCTGAGAAATCACCTGAGCCGCCTCCTGATGGCCCAGGGACACGGAGAGAAGCGCCTGGTGGTAGATTCACGTTAAGAAGGAGGCAGGAAGGGGAGAGAGGGAGAACGGGGGGGGAGAGGGGAAGGGGAGACGGGGAGAGAGGAGGGGGAGAGCGGGAGAGAAGGTTAAGGGGGGTGGGGGGAATTAGTGGGAGAGGGATTATTGATGGTGTTTCAGGGGGGTGGATGTGAGGAGGGATGTGGGAGGGATGTGGGAGGGGGAAGGTGGAAGGAGGACGATGGCAAAGGGGACGATGGCAAGGGAAAGAGGACGGAAGGATAAGCAAATATTTTCTGAAGGAGCTGTGTTTAAAGAAAGGTGGTTGACGTTTTTCAGCGGATAAAACAAGCGGGACGAAGATGGGAGACGGGTTTGGGGAGGGACAAGAGGAATATCATATTGGGAGCCATCCATTGCTGGTTCAGTAAATCAGCACATTTCAATCTCGACAAATATACTTTCGTGCAGTCCATTTTCGTTCCCATACAAAGGTGGATCGTATCAAATCCACCTGAAGGTGAGGCAGGTGGGGTGGGCAACTATCCTATCTGAAACGTGTAATAGCTTCCTTCCCCTCCTCTCCCCTTCTCTCCCCTCCTCCCCACCCCTCCCCTCCCTTTCCCCTCCCCTCCCCTCCCCTCCCCTCCCCCACTCTCCCTTCCACTCCGCCCTTCTCTAAACAATCGTATCAGATCAAATCTACCTGGAGATGCGGCAGGTGGTGGGGGTACAGAGGCAGCGTGATGCAGCTCTCCACCGTCTTCTCCAACGCTCGACTCCTCAGGAAAATCTGCCGCAGGAAAGAAATATAGGCATTTGTGAGGTCAGGTGCCATCTAAACAACGACTCTCAACCTTGCAAAAAAAAAAAAAGTCGCCATGCGACCCAACTTCTAGCAGACCAGCCCAGATCGAACCAGCAATAATCCGTCCGCAGGTGCACCTATCCCACGCACCTCCTTCCACGCCGTCGCAATGCCAGGCGCGGGCAGTTGTTGCGCGCGCACAGTCCAGTCGTGCCACTGCCTCACCCGCGCCTCCGCATCCCTTCCGCACGCCTCCGCCGCCGCCTCCAGCGCCGCAGCTTCCGCGCTGATCGCTCCCCCCGCGCCCGGGGCAGGCGCAGCAGCAGCGCCGATGTTCCCGTCACGCGCAGCTGGAGCCGCGCCGGCGGCGGCACCCACGGATTTGGCCTGCTTTCCGCCTTTGCTCTTTCCGCCCTGCTGCCACGCCTCCTCCCGCGCGGTTTCCGCCCCCCATTCCGCCGGCATCAGGCCCCCCGTCTCGTACGCCTTGGGATCCTTGATTAGCGGAATTTCCGTGCCGGCGGCCGGCGGAGATGACGGCGTAACTGCCGGCGCGGCGGCTTTTTCTGCCGGTTTGGAGGAGATCTCAGGAGAAGCGACTGCGCCATTGGCTGGTTCCTCCTCCTCGTCCCCCCAACGAGGCTGCCTCGCCTTTGCGCCTTTCCCCTTCTTCTTCTTCGCAGCGGAAGGTGCGGCGGAAGGTGCAGAGGCAGCTGCGGGGGAAGCTGCATCTGCCTGCTGACCGACCGAAGCAGCGGCCGTGGCTGTTGGCGGTTGAGGTTCGGTTGGTGCAGGTTGAACCACCTCCGGCTCCTGCTTTTGCTGCTGCTGCTGAGGCTGCTGCTGCTGCTGCTGCTGCTGCTGCTGCTGGTCGTCTCCTTGAGATTGCTGCTGCTTCTTCTTCCGGTTTCGGCGATTCTTGGAGCCTCCGTCAGCACCACCGCCCGCGCCGCCTCCACCCGTCAGAAGGTCGAACGGATTCTGCACGTGAGCCATTTTCCGTGAAGTCGCAGTCTGGACCCGTCAACCTAAGAGAAGTCCGGAGTTCCGAGCTGCAATGTCTGTGAATTTGCCCACGTGGATTGACAACGTGCTCCGAATCTATGAGAAAAAAACGGACCTTTTGGGCTTAGATCGGTTTAAGGTGAAGATAATGGCTTCCAGTCGAAAATGGAAACCCGGTTCAGGAACTATTGAAACAGCACTCAGAATCTGACCAATCCCACCAATCCGTGAACCGCTTTACGCGAATTCGCAGATCTCACAGGCCTGCGGACCTCCTGATGGCGAAACGAGCTGAGAGGATCAGGCGATAAGACTGAATGGTGTTAGCAGGCCTGGGAGTGAGATTGACCTGATGGTGGTTCTTAGATTGTTGTGAAGCTTCCTGACCTGGTAAGAAATCCAGATGGATGTGAGAGAATGTATAGGTCAAGAAAACTCTGACAATGTCAGCTTTGCTGGTCTTGGGAATGTTGTCACCATCCCGAAAACTCTATCGAAGGCGTATTTTTGTAGACCGACATTGCATGAGATTACTAAGCAGCCCAAGAACAAGCACGCACGAATGTCGCAAAAACATCTGCGAGCAGTTTTGTATAACTAGACGTGGCATTTAGCTGTTGCGTTTGTGTGGAGTTTTGTTCGCAGTAGTTCGTTTGTACGGGAACTCAAGTGCATCCGCGAATGATCCGGAGTGGCCGAAACCACGCAGTAGTGAATCATCGCCAACTTCAATGAGATAATTCCGAGAGTTACGGATGACGTCATTGAGATCCTGAGTCAACAACCCGGTAGTACAGTACCTGAAGGGGCGTGTATGGTTTCATTCTAATAATACAAATCAGTTAATTAAATACACTATTTACAAGCACAATGTCAAGCTTTAATCCCTATTTAGGTCACCTGTGTACTCATAGCATACTTTTCCACGAACCAGTTTTTGGTACCACTGACTGCCGGCGGAGAGGATTTTTCGCTTGGAACGGCAAGAGATGCTGTGGAGTTACTACCAACTACTCGTCGAAGCACCAGAACTGAGCTTGCCCCTTGTAACAAGGTTACCAGCAGCACAGCAGCAATGGAAGGCGCAAGGAAGACCCAAATGACTGCCACCCGCCGGCCCAAAAGCGTTTCATTCAGTCCACCCTCAAGGAAAATGCCAAACAATGCCTGACATTGCAAGGATGGAGAGAGAGGGGAACATGACGGGGTAAATGTTAAGCCTAAAACGAGTTGTAAAAGGTATGGAGAGAGATTTGCTCCAAGAGACTTGAAAACCCTTAACTACAATACCTGACCAGTTGTTGTGGGAGGCTTACTCATAGAAACAGTGAGCTACAGAATCACTAACCTCACCCTGAAGGTGCTTACCCCAAGAGAAGCTAGCGCAGCAACGTGGGAGGTGATAATGGCAATGGAGAGGAGGGAGGAGGAGAGTGAGAGGGAAATGATGACGGAGGCGTGTGAGCGGAGCAAGAGGAGGGAGGTGCGCAGGGAGGAGATGAAGCCTTCTCCAGTTGCTGCTGCGATAGGCAACACGAGTCTGGTGCGATAAGCAGTTGGAGAAGAGACAACACAGGCACACCGCACACACATGCAAACAAACACAAAACCAGACATGCAAGCCAAGACACATGCACTCCCATGAACACAGAGACACACACACACACACACAAAAACACACACACATGAACACACACACACATGCACACACACACACACACACACACACATGCACACACACACATGCACACACACACACACACATGCACACACACACACACAAACACACACACACACACACACACACACAAAACACACTCACACACATATACATGCACAAGAGCAGATACAGAAACACAAACAGACACATATGTACACTGAACATGCAAATCCATACGAGCATTGCCTTTATACATAAGAGTAAGTGAAGACTTTTGGAGGGGCGGGGAGAAAGAGGGATAGGAAGATGTCACCCTCCAAGAGGAGCAAGGGCAATAAAAGGGAGCAAAACCTTCTAAGAAGGATAGGAAGATGGCACTTTCTAAGAAGGATAGGAAGATGGCACTTTCTAAGAAGGATAGGAAGATGGCACTTTCTAAGAAGGATAGGAAGATGGCACTTTCTAAGAGCAACACAACTGAACTAGCCATGAAAACTAGACGAGAAAGCACGTGAGAAAGTATTTAGTCACGTAACTTGTTGGTTTCTGGTTGGTCAAACCGAGCTTGCTGTTTGACTTTTGAGTCGACTCAAAAGTTTCTGGTTGGTCAAACCGAGCTTGCTGTTTGACTTTTGAGTCGACTCAAAAGTTTCTGGTTGGTCAAACCGAGCTTGCTGTTTTCTGTCCGTTTCTCATTTTGAGAGTGTATTGAATCACGTACCTTGTAAAGAAGGCGAGCAAGGGTGTGACACAAACGAGGGCCAGCACTCTGGTTAGTGTGAGAGAAGCAGAGGCGGGCATGAGGCGACGATCGTCCACAGAGGGCGAGGTGGAGGAGGAGGAGAACTGAGAGGAGGAGAAATGAGAGGCGGAATATTGTGAAGAAGTTGAGAGGAATGGAGTGGAGGGGAGGGAGGAGATGAGGGAGGAGAGGAGGACGGGGAGGGTGAGAGCGAGGGAAGTGGAGAGTGTGAGGATGAGAGCGATGGTGGCGATTGTTCCGAGAGATGCGAACAGGGCTTGCCTGGAGTGGTGGGGATGAGGGGAGAGCAGGGAAGATGGGGGTAGAGGAGTCGACATGAGAGAATTGAAGGGGGGAGAGTGTGAGGATGAGAGCGATGGTGGCGATTGTTCCGAGAGATGCCAACAGAGCGTGCCTGCAGTGGTGGGGTAAGGGAGGAGACGGGTGGAAGAGAGGAGAGAAGGGGTTAAGGGGGGAAGGGGGTGAGAGAGACGGTGGTGATGTTTTCTGAGGCGCCTCAAACAAGGGGGTGAGAGAGACGGTGGTGATGGTGCCGATTGTTGCGAACAGAGCATGCGCGTAGTGGTGGGATTGAGCATCGGACAGTCTGCTCTTTGAACGCCGCAAAAAAAAAAAAAAAAAAAAAAAAAAAAAAAAAAACAAACAAACAAACAAACAAACAAACAAATAGAAGTACAAACAAACAAACAAGCAAACAAACAAAAAAAAACCAACCGTATTGGTAACGTTGAGGAACCCGGCCTGTTCCATGCAAGAAACTTCCTCTCCTCCACAAACCCACACAAGTCATCACCGGGAAAGCGCCCCGAAGATTTCTCTTCCATTTGCTCTCGCCCCATCCCTCCCACCCGCCCTGCTGCTTCTTCCAGTGCACCCCTGTCAAACGGGGTTTCAGTTGTCTCAGAAAGAGGCGGGTTACTGAAAACACCCTCCTCGAACGCCTCACTGCTGGCCGCCACTGCAGCAGCTGCCCCCCATCCCACTGCCGCTGCTTCAGCTTCAGCACCATTCCCTCTCAAGCTGTCTCTACTCCTCCGTGAAAGCCTCACTGCTGATGTGTTATCTAGGGCACCCTCCTCAAACGCCTCACTGCCAACCGCCACTGCAGCCGCTGGCCTCAATAAACTTCCCGCTGCTGTTGTTCCAGCTTCAGCATCATTCCCTCTCAAGCTATCTCTATTACTCGTTAATGAGTTATCTAGACCACCCTCCTCAAACGCCTCACTGCCAACCGCCACTGCAGCTGCGAACTGCACTGTCATGACCACACTGACGGCCAGCCACAGACTTGCCAGCTGGCCGGCTGTTCTGACGGCCAGATGGATCCAGAGGGGGAGATGGCAGGCAAGGGCGGAGAGGAAGTGAGTGAGGGAGGGGAGGAAGGTGGAGGGAGATGGGGTGGGGGTGGTTATGGCGCTGTGGGTGGAGGAAGAGAAGGAAGAGGAAGAGGAGGAAGAGGAAGAGGAAGAGGAGGAGTGAGGGATGTAGGTCATTTGAGCTGATATGAACCCAGCACCAGCACCCCATGCTCCCTCCTGCTGCTCCTCCTGCTGCTGCCGCTGCTCCTGCCTCTGCTCCTCCTTCTCATCCCCTTCCGCCCCCTGCTGCTGCTGAGCAGTTAAGGCAATTGCAGCTCTATCCATGGAAAGGAAAAAGGAGGGGCAGTGGGCTGGGAGCAAGGGGGAGGAAAGAGATGAGGGCTGGGAGGGTGGTGGTATGAAGGGTCCTTGGAGGGGGGAGGAGGAGGAAGGAGAGAAGGAAAAGGAAAAGGTCGAGACAAAGAGTGGTGTGAGGAAGCTTGCTAGAACCGCGAGGAGGGCGATGAGGGAGACGAGGGCGCGGGCCGGGGAGCGGCGGTGGGAGAGAGATAGGGCGGAGTGGGAGGTGGTGCTGACGGCTAAGGCATAGTGGAAACGGGGGAGGCAGGGGGTAAGGCGGGGAGGATTGGAGGGCTGGGGGAGTTGGGAGGAGCGGGGAAGGTGGGGAAGGTGGGGAAGACAGGGGCGATGGGAATTGACAGGGGAGGTGGGGGGGAGAAACTGGATGGGGGGAAGCTGGGGGTGGTGCGAGGAGGGTGTGGAGGAATGAAGAGGTATGGAGGAGGGAGGGAGTTGGAACGGCAGAGGGTGGGGAGAGGTCAGATAGGGAGATGAATCTGCATGGGATGGCTGCTGCTGCTGCAGGCTCGACTTTGCAAATTCGGGACACGAGTTGGAAAGTGGCGGCGGCTGCTGCTGCTGCATCTGCTGTTTTTGCTGCTGCTGCTCCTGTTCCATACATTCCTCCTCTTCCCTCCTCCTCTCTTTCTCACTCACTCCCCCTCCTCTCCCAGACCCCAGCCCCAGCAGCAGCAGCAGGGAGGCAGCGAGAATGAGAACGAGCACCGAGAACACCACAACCCACGTGCTGCTAACTTCCAGAGGCTCATACCATGTACCGTACCAATCCCATAACGAGGACAGAGGGGAGAAATGGCGGAAGGAGGTGTAGCGTTTGTAACCAGAACCAGCAGCAGCACCACCAGCAGCAACACCATATTTTCCCCCCATTCTCCATTTTCTCCTCCACCCCCCAACCACTCGCCCTAATCCCCGTCCCTCTAACCCTCCTCCTTCCCCCATCCCCACCCCCCCTCCTCCTCCCGCTCCCACTTCCCCCTCCTCCTCACTCTCCTGTAGCAAGGTCAGTAGGGAGGAGAGAAGACGAAGGGGGCGAAGCGGGGCGAGGAAAAAGACAAACTGGTAGGCGGCAAATCCGCCTGCCAGCAAGGCGAGAGATCCTTCGAGTGGCGTCACGTAGCAGATAAGGACAGAAAGTGCCGCCCCTGCGATTTGTGGTATGAGCTTGTCGGCGCTGGGAGAGAAGGACTGGGAGGAAGGTTCCAGGAAGGGGGCGGGGGGAGATTGGAGGAAGAGGGAGGAGAGGGCGTGTATGGCAACAATTGTCACTGTAACGGATGTGCTTATAACGAAGATGGCAGCAACCAGAGTATCGCGGGGTTGGCGATTGCAAACTGGTTTGAAACGGATAGAACTTGGTGCCACGTCAGCAGCACCTCTTAATCTCCTCCTGCCCCCACTACTGCCACGTAGGCCACTCAAACTCTCAGCCACGTCATCATCCTTTCCGAGATTCTTGGAGCCAATAGCTTCGTCACTAGCTCTGAAGTCAGGTGTCGCTTCGAGAAGAGCTCTTAATCTCCCCCAGCCCCCAGAAATCGAAAGCCACTGCTGTATCTTCCCAGGTGCTTCCTCAGGTGATTCCTCAGGTGCTTTCTCAGGTTTTTTTCCAGGGGTATGTACAAGAGCAGCGTCTTCCCCGTTGAGCCAATCATCCTCCCCCTCCTCCTCCAACCTTCTTCGTTCCTCCTCCCCTGTCCCCCTTGCTTCCCTGCTCTCCTCTCTGCCCCTTTTCTGGTAAATTCCCGTCCCATTCTTCTCTCCCTCCTGAATCTCCTCGCTTCCGCCCCGCTCTCCTCTTTCTCCTCGCTCTGCTCGCTCCTCTCCCATCTTTCTCCCGACTAAGGATTCTCACAAGTGACTAGACAGCCTCTTCGTTTACTTGAAACCTCCTCCTTCTCTCTCTCCTCGCTCTTCTCTCCTCCCTCCCTCTCTCTCTCGCGCTTCTCCCTCCTGCATCTCCTTTCAATTCCCCTCAAAGCGAATGGAGAAATCGAGAGGAAAATTTTCACCGCCGCCTAGCGTAGCGAAGCCCTTACAGTTAGCGAGGGGGAGAGGGGGAGCGGGGGAGCGGGGGAAAGCGGGGTCCAGAGGAGATACTTCCGCGCCGACGGGAAGCACTGGGGGAAGCGGAACGACTGGGGGAAGGGGTGCGATTGGAAACGGAAATCATGGATGGAGGGACATGCTTCGAGTGAGCGAGGGATGGGGAATGAGGAGAAACGCAGAGAAATGGTGAAGGGGAAGGAGACGGGAGGTCGGGAGAGGAACAAGAGTAAGACTCTCATTCCCTGTGCGCGTGGGCTTCTGGGAGGAGCAAGGGAGCAGCAAGAAACCCTGCTGATGACTTGCTGAGCTGAAATGAGCACTGAAACGAGCCGAACTGCGCAAACCCTAAACGATGGAGTTAACAACCACTTGTACACCTTACAAAACCTTCCTCAGCCATGAAAATGAACCTTAAACGGTTGAGCTGGAATCCACACATATGAAGATATATATTTCTATAGATATTGTATGTTCAGTGTAAGCAAAGTGCTCTGAGAGCGGAGCACTCCCCAAACGGGAATACAGTGCTCTTCCCAGATACTCATATTTATAACGAGATTATTTGTAAATGTGTTGTGAGTCGCAGATGTGGAAATAAAACATGTCATGGGGTATGCTTATACACGTACCTTGTCACTATAAACATCATTGTGACAGATATCACTGTGTATTGTTTGTGTTGCATTTCCAAGGTGGTTATGTAGGAAATGCAATGCGTCACTTTCTGTTAAAACGAGGGTGACTTTCTTGGGACGGATATTCTCTGTTGCTTGAAACATCACATCCTCTCTTTCTATTGGCCCCAATCCCGGAATGCATCTAAAGATTCTTGTCGATCTTCTGGGGCAACTGTTTCTTGCCAGCCGCCAACATCCAGATCGTTGATAATATTGCGCGTGCAGGTGAGGCGTCCGTAGAAGCTTGTCTGCGTCTAAAGTCTAGGTTGACCTGTACCGCTTCGGGGCACGAAAATATAATAGACGTTATGGTAACACGTTGCACCACCCACCAAAACCCGTTGAATTATTCTATCCGTCGGGGTGTATTTTTCTACCACAGTGAGCGTAGAGGCCTCCGTGCGTCCGAACCAGGCAGTGCCAGTCTCAACAAAAACCTCACAAACTTCAGCATGGACCGGTTATTTCTCCTTCTGTACTTCCCCTCCCCATCAATTCACGTTGGAAGTGGTTGGTGGCTGTGATCCGATGAAGCGTGATCCTGCTAGATCCGATCACAGTCAGCACGTCGCGCCAACGCATGGCAAACGCAGGCCGTTTTATGCCAAACATTTTAGCGAAAGCAGTTCTTTCTTGTCAGCATCCAGCCACCGGCTGCAGCAGCCATCGGTGTGGATGGGGTCGAAAGGACGGGAGGGAGGGGCGCCAAGCAACCAATTCCCTAGACTTGGGTTGGACGACGGGTCCGTTCCGTTGAGGTGTGGCGACAACACAAGCAGCCACTGGGTATAGTCCTTGTTGCACTCCACGAATGAGACTGTATGTCAATGAAGGTCTTCTAGTCCAGATTAGATAGTATTCGAGTTCACCATGAACTGCTTAAAAATATGCCTGTAGCCAGTGTCACTTTCTTAAGTGACTGCATTGTGCACTTTCTTAAGTAATACTTGAACTACGTTACGACTCATCTAGAAATCCCAGAATCAACCCGTCATGTGCATGAATGGTCTCCCCTTCTCTGACCGATGGAAAATCTGTTCAAGCTAACGGTGGCAATCCAAGTATCATGTCGGATCCTGTCATGCACTGTTCATAGTGTCTCGCTGGATCTGCCCGCCACAGTGAAGAAATTCAGAGCTTACGAGGGCGCATACACATCAGCCTAAAAACACTCTAGCGGTCATCGTCGAGATCGCGTTTGTCGTAGCTACGTTCGAGACCCTTCGTTTCGAACCCAGGAAACATACGTCCTCAGAGCGTTTATCCCTTCACCTCGGTTTTTGCAGAGCGTTTTTGCGTGTTTCAAATTAGTTATTTGTGCATTCGTTTTCTCCAAGTCACACAGAAACGACATGCATGAGATGAGAGACCGCCGATTTATTGCCATTCTTTGCAATGGAATGGAAGCTGTCGCGCGACTCTTGTCCATTGCTAGTCCAGCCTATCAGTTACCTACTGTTTTGCGTTGGCGGTGGTTCCTCCTGACCTGATTCACCTCACCAGCAGCAGCACTCTGACTTACGATGCGTGAATCAACACTGGGCTGGCAGATGAGTGAAGTCGTTACCACTGTAGACTTGATGGAGCGTGCGATGCCAGCACAGTTTTCTGCCAGAGCTAGCGAGGGTTTCAACTTTAGTACACCCTGTTTCTCGACCCTCTCACCTTGCGCGATTCGCTGCTACAGTGCGGTCAGGTGCCATAAACCGTATGGCTGAAACCTGCGGGCAAAGCCGCACCAGCTGACGGAGTGGTACTGGGGGCAAATTTTTTCTTTATCGCTGTATACCCTTTAAACCGCTTTGAAACGCTTGTTTAATGTTCTTTACCATGCAGCATCCTAGCTAACCGCTTTCTTGTGAATGTGCTTGTACCGTCGGTGATAAGACCATTTCAAACGTGGTGACGTTCTACAACCAGTGCATGTTCTGCAACCAGATGCTCTGCTAGCGCGAAACAGGGTGTACGTGCTATCTGTTGATACAGTACATCATGTCCTGGCACTTAAGTTTAGGGTATTGACGGTCGCCGGTCCTACTAGGACAAACACTAGGATTTCGTCGGTCGTTCTACTTACGAGTATTACAATGCCTCATCGCTCGCGGATTCCGGATCCCGCGGCGGCCGTTTCACTTGCGCATGGAGATGCGCTGACGTCGCTTCTCGATCTGACGGCTGCCGTCGTCATTGCCGCCAGAGGCGCTAAGATTCTCTCTGCTAGGTATTTACCTGCGAAAAACTAAAAATTCCATCATTGTTCGTGATATTTATCACTATCTTACTTCGGCACAAGATGATCAAGTCCTTTCTCATGAGGGAGTTGCGGGTTGCATGAAGATTTCATGCGTAAAACAAGTTTTTTCAGATTACTTGCAACTAGTACGCTGGATACGACATTTTGCTCTCACAAAGTGCTAAGATTGTGATTTCATGCAGAGAGATTGTGATTTTACGAGGAATTTCATGCAGTGGCCATTGCTTTTTGACACAAGCATGTATAATATTTGACGCTTGGTTCGTTCAGCGTATCGCTCTCACGTGCCTATATTTTAGGTCTATTCCTCTTTAATGTCTCTGAACTAGGCATCTTCTGAAAGCACCCTAAGGTGGCTACGGTCATTCACGGCTTGTCTTCTGTATTTTCTATCGAATCCCCTTGTGCTCTGTCCGGTTATGTTAATAAAGGTACCAATCTTTGTGTGAGCGGAGATCGAAGAGGTTTGCATTAATAATGGCTCGTATTGGCTTTCCACGGGTAGGGTCAGAAACTTTTACCCTCGCTCTAACATCAGTTTGCTCATCATCAGCATCTCATAATCGAATCGCGACTGGGCTGCATCTCGTGTTTCTTCTGGCCACCTGCTCTCTCGTCTGTCTCCCTCACTCTCTCTCTCTCTCTCTCTCTCTCTCTCTCTCTCTCTCTCTCTCTCTCTCTCTCTCTCTCTCTCTCTCTCTCTCTCTCTCTCTCTCTCTCGCCTCGCTCCCCGTATTCCATCAGCATGGCTGCGTGCGAGCTGCTGCAGATTGAACCGAAGTCGCTAAAGAACCGATCCATTTTGAGGCTCCGCTGCCTTCTCTCCCCACCCACTTGCTCCTCCCCTTTCTGATCCCCCTGATCAGCATGGGTGCATGCGAGCTGCTGCAGAAGAAACCAAGGCTTTTAGAGAACCGATCCATTTTGGAGCTGCGCTGCCCTCTCTCCCCACCCACTTGCTCCTCCCCTCTCTGATCCCCCTGATCAGCATGGGTGCATGCGAGCTGCTGCAGAAGAAACCAAGGCCTTTAGAGAACCAATCCATTTTTTAGCTCCGCTGCCCTCTCTCCCCACCCACTCGCTCCTCCCCTTTCTGACCCCCCTTATTCCATCAGCATGGGAGCGTGCGATGCGAGCTGCTGCAGCAGCAGGAACCAAGGTCTATAGCGAGTTGACTTTTGAGTAGCTGCTGCAGCAAAAGTCTTCAAAAGTCAGCTGCTGCAGCAGCAGGAACCAAGGTCTATAGAGAGAGAATCCGATCCTTTTGGAGCTCCGCTGCCTTCCCCCACCCACTCTCTCCTTCCCATCCCTCGCGCCTCCATCCCTTTCGAGTTGACTTTTGAGTCGACTCAAAAGTCTTTTGGAGCTCCGCTGCCTTCCCCCACCCACTCTCTCCTTCCCATCCCTCGCGCCTCCATCCCTTTCTGATCCCCCCTGCTTCCATCAGCATGGGAGCGTGCGAGCTGCTGCAACAGGAGCCGGGGTCACTAGAGAACCGATCCATGCTGGAGCTGCTCCATTTGAACGATCAGCCGCTCTTCATGGTACTCCCTCCTGGCCCTTGTTTTCTTTCCTTATTTGAATATTTTGCCTGACGTTTATCCGCGTGCATCCATGGAAATCTGCATAATTAATTATCTGCTTGCTCTTTGTGTGAAACAAAAAGGTGTCCTTTCCATCGTCTCTCTCCCCGTGTTCGTCTCAAAACGCTTCACTCCCTCACTGCCGGCCGTAGCTTCAAGGCTCACTTCACAAACTTTGAAGAAGTGTTTTGAGACGTCTCAATGGTTCGCCACTCACCGCTTGCCTCTTTGCCCCTTCTGCAGCACAAGTGGTGTTTTGAGACGTCTCAAAGGTTCGCCACTCACCGCTTGCCTCTTTGCCCCTTCTGCAGCACAAGTGGTGTTTTGAGACGTCTCAATGGTTCGCCACTCACCGCTTGCCTCTTTGCCCCTTCTGCAGCACAAGTGGTGTTTCGAGACGTCTCAAAGGTTCGCCACTCACCGCTTGCCTCTTTGCCCCTTCTGCAGCACAAGTGGTGTTTTGAGACGTCTCAATGGTTCGCCACTCACCGCTTGCCTCTTTGCCCCTTCTGCAGCACAAGTGGTGTTTTGAGACGTCTCAAAGGTTCGCCACTCACCGCTTGCCTCTTTGCCCCTTCTGCAGCACAAGTGGTGTTTTGAGACGTCTCAAAGGTTCGCCACTCACCGCTTGCCTCTTTGCCCCTTCTGCAGCACAAGTGGTGTTTTGAGACGTCTCAATGGTTCGCCACTCACCGCTTGCCTCTTTGCCCCTTCTGCAGCACAAGTGGTGTTTTGAGACGTCTCAATGGTTCGCCACTCACCGCTTGCCTCTTTGCCCCTTCTGCAGCACAAGTGGTGTTTTGAGACGTCTCAAAGGTTCGCCACTCACCGCTTGCCTCTTTGCCCCTTCTGCAGCACAAGTGGTGTTTTGAGACGTCTCAATGGTTCGCCACTCACCGCTTGCCTCTTTGCCCCTTCTGCAGCACAAGTGGTGTTTTGAGACGTCTCAATGGTTCGCCACTCACCGCTTGCCTCTTTGCCCCTTCTGCAGCACAAGTGGTGTTTTGAGACGTCTCAAAGGTTCGCCACTCACCGCTTGCCTCTTTGCCCCTTCTGCAGCACAAGTGGTGTTTTGAGACGTCTCAATGGTTCGCCACTCACCGCTTGCCTCTTTGCCCCTTCTGCAGCACAAGTGGTGTTTTGAGACGTCTCAATGGTTCGCCACTCACCGCTTGCCTCTTTGCCCCTTCTGCAGCACAAGTGGTGTTTTGAGACGTCTCAAAGGTTCGCCACTCACCGCTTGCCTCTTTGCCCCTTCTGCAGCACAAGTGGTGTTTTGAGACGTCTCAATGGTTCGCCACTCACCGCTTGCCTCTTTGCCCCTTCTGCAGCACAAGTGGTGTTTTGAGACGTCTCAATGGTTCGCCACTCACCGCTTGCCTCTTTGCCCCTTCTGCAGCACAAGTGGTGTTTTGAGACGTCTCAAAACGCTTCACTCCCTCACTGCCGGCCGTAGCTTCAAGTCTCACTTCACAAACTTTACCTCCACGTTTTTTCTCCTCCGGCTTTCAACAGGACACGCTGGTTAAGTGCGCGCGCTTAGCTCCCTCCAGCAGCACAGCTCCGTCGGTCCGCCCGTGCAGTGCACACGCCGCCACAGGAATCAGTCAGCCGAACTATAGGCAGCATTCTCCTGGGAATACACCGCCATGGGTTACAGTACCTGCTACAACCCCTGCCACAACTCCTGCCGCAACCCCTGCGGCTACTCCTGGAGTAACCCCCTTTCACCCGCCACACCAGGAGTCGCACGGTTGTTTTTCAGGCGCTTCTTCTTCGCACGCTGCCCGGCGCGAGTTTTCTACTGCTGGGGCTGCTGTTTCGGGCAGCGGCGGAAGGTTTTTCCGCGGGCAGCACCAGCTGCACGTGCGGCTGAGGGTGGATGAGGAAGCAGAAGGGGAGGACCCTCAGACTGAGCAGCAGTTTGTGTGGGTGCGCGCACGGATGCTGCCTGTAGTGGCAAGGAGACAAGGCGTAGGAGAACCAAGGAGAGATGCAAGGGGAAGGGAGTCCGAAGGAAGTGATGCAGCGTTTGTAAGAGGGCAGGCAGGGGCAGCGGGTGCTGGAGCAGGAGAAGGATCAGAGAGGCCAGGAACAGCAGCAGCAGCGACAGCAGCAGGAGCAGGCGGTAGAGGAAGGCTGTCAGTGGTGTGTGTATTCGAGGAGCTAGAGGTCGTCCCAGCTTCTGTGACTGCGCCTGAAGTGGCGCCTGTAGCAGCGGCGGCGGGATTTTTCTTAGACCCTGCCGCTGCTTCTGCTGCTGCTACTGCTGCCGCCGCTACTTCTGCCGCTGCTTTCGCTGCCGCAGGTACCACTTTTGCTGCCGTTGCCACCTCCGGTGCTGCCGCCACTGCTGCTGCTGCTGCTGCTGCCGCCGCTGCTGGCGATACAACTGCATCCGAGTTCCTTTCACCTGCCCCTTTCCCAGATGCTCATATGCTAAGTGCTCCCCCTGCTCTTGCACTGTCAGAAGCAGTTGGCACGCATACTCCAGCCTTGAGCCCTTTTTCGCAAATCTCCAGTTTTGAACGCTTGCAATGCGCGAGAGAAGCGGCCGCAGGTGAATCTGCAGATAGAGCAGCAGCATCAGCAGCATTCACGCGCGCCGCAACCCCCCCAGCGGCTGCCGCTGCAGAAGCAGCAGCACTCGCATCGCCCGCAGTTGCTGCCGCCGCCGCCGCTGTTGCAGCACCAGCAGCACGAGCAGCAGCAGCAGCACCACCAGCAGCAGTAGGACCGTCAGGAGCCAGACTCCAGGCAGCAGCTCCTTCTGCTGAGTTACCTCCAGCTATCCCCAGTTCCGCTCCCCTTGTCCCTCCAGCGACGGCTGTAGCAGCTGCAGCGGCTGTAGCGGCCGCAGCCGCAGCCGCTGCAGCCACCCGCAAGCCCCAGCCCGCGCCTGTGACTATAGAGAAGCGGAAAGGACCCATGACCTTGCCTACTCTCCCCCGGTGGCGCTCTAACGAGGATCTTATAGAGGAGGGAGATCCGTTAGAAGACAGGCAGTTACTGGATCAGCTTCCAACGAGGATAGAGGAGATTAAAGCGCGTTTGGAGAGTGGAGAGGGTTTGGAGGAAGAGGTGCCTAGGGTTGGAGCAGGGGAGAGGAGGCGGCAAGGGGATTTGGGGAAGTGGCAGGGAGGGAGAGGAGGTAGAGGGAACCGGGGGCAAGGACGGGGTGAATGGGTGAGTGCTGAGGCGAAGGGTGGGCAGTTGTTGGGGCAGGAGAAGGGGCGAAGCAGTGATAGGGAGAAGAAGAGGAAAGAGGGGAGCATGGGAGACAGGGAGAAGGGAGAGGGAGACCGGGAGGAGCAGCAGAGTATGAGTGGTGGGTGTAACAGCGCTGCTGCTGCGGAGGAAATTGGCAGTGGGGCAGGTCAAATTGGTGGTTTGAACAATGAAAGCAGTGAGAGGGAGGCGTTATCTGGGGAAGGTGGTCTGGTAACCTATGGGTTGCATCTGAGGAGGGCACTGGAAGGGGAAGAGGAAGCAGAAGGGGATGTGACTGTAGCGGATGAGATAATGGAGGGGGGATTGGGAGACTTGGGAGGGAGGGGGAGGAGCCTTGGAGCTGGTAGCAGCAGCACGGACCTTCCTTCTGTTGCTGTTGCTGATGCTGGTGCCGCCACCGCCACTGCTGCTGCTGGTGTTGTTGGTGGTGGTGCTGCTGGTGGTGGTGACGGTGGTGCTGTTGGTGCTACTGCTGCTGCTGTTGAAGCAGCTGAAAGAGAAGGGGTATTTGAGAGGATTCATGCACCACCACAGGCACTGGCAGGGCCATTCTTAGCGGCAGCAACAGAAGGGAGAGGTAGAGGGAAGCAGGTGGGAGGGCAACGGATAAGAGTTCTACAGGGGGATGATTGTGGTGATGTTGGGGATGGTGGTGATGGCGGTGATGCTGCAGGCGGTGATGCTGCAGGCGGTAATGTTTCTGCTGCACGAGTGATGCGTGAGGTGAAGGGGGAGGCAGGAGCTGAATCGAGCATCAAGTCTGGAGGAATGGGAGCAGCTGCAGCTTCCTCTGCTGCTGCAGGCTCGCACGCTAAGTCCGCTGCTGCTGCTTCTGCTGCCGCTGCTGGTGCTGCTACTGCAGCTGCTTCTGTTGCCGCTGCTGCAGCTGCTTCTGCTGCTGCTGCTGGTGCTGCTACTTGTTCTGCGTCTGGATCTGCCTCTGCGGCTTGTTTCAGGGCAGATGTGGGAGTGGGGGAGGTGGCGGTGACGAGTGGAGGTGGGGAGTCTGGGCTTTGGACCGATTTACTCAAGAAAGGGCTGACTCGGCTGTTGGAAGCCCAGAACGCCCCCAGTGATGATGACGATGATGACTGTGATCAGGATCGTGATCGTGATGTGGTGCAGAAAGAGGAGGAGGGCGGAAAGGATGAGGAGACGGAGGAGATTGGGGAGACGGGGGAGAGAGGAGAGATGGTTGGGAGGAAAGGAGGGGGGGGAGAGAGAGCAGGGGGCGTGTTGGATCTGCCGAGTAAAGGCAAGGGGAGGGAGAGCGGGGAGGAGGGATTGGAAGGGGAGGGGGAAGCTGCTGGAAAGGCGAGTGAGGAGGAGGAGGAGGTGGAGGTGGAGGAGATTGTGAGGGTCAAGCCGGGTCGGATGGGGATGGGAATGGGGATGGGGATGGGGATGGGAATGGGGATGGGGATGGGGACGGGGATGGGGGGGGTGGATGAAGCCGCAGCAGGGAGAGGGGCAGATGGGCAAGGAGCGAGTTTCCAGCCGCCAGGGGTGCAAGCTGCTGCTGCAGCAGCAGGAGGGGGGGGATCGGATTCAGATAGCCTAAGCAAGTTCTTTTCCGCCTCGGTAAGTCGTTCTCTCCCTCTCTCCAGCGTGCTTCTGAAAAAAAAAAAAAAGCACACACACACACACACACACACACACACACACACACACACACACACACACACACACACACACACACACACATTCACATTTTTTCTGCCTCAGTAATTCAGTAATTTGTCCCTCTTTCCCTCTCTCCAGCTGTGCTCCTCTGAACAATTCCGCCTTTCCGCTTTCGTCCTGATTTCAAGTGTAGTTTCGCTTCTTCCCCACCTTTCTCCCCCCCCCCCTCCTTCGATCCCACCCTCCATCCCACCCTCCCTCTCTCCCTCCCTCCTCCCTCCCTCTCCCCCTCCCTCTCCTCCCTCCCCCCTCCTCCCCACGTCTTCCTTCCCTCCCTCTTCCACCCACCCAGGACCCCATATTCATTTGTAAGAACCTCACTATAGTCGACTGCAACGACAGCGCCGCCCGGATCCTCCGCGTCGCCCAGAACGAGCGCAGCACCCGCATCTTCGGCCAATCACCCGTCGTCTTCTCGCCCCCAGTGCAACCAGAGGGGATTCTTTCGGCAGTAGCAAGCGAGCAGCGCTGGTTAGACATCGCCACGAGCAACGGCCGCCCGTTCCGGTTCCCCTGGGTGCACATGTCAATCGACGGTCAGATGTTTCTCGTGGAGGTGATGGCGATGGTGCTAGTGGACGGCCCAGATACGTTCCACATCACCATGTGGAAACAATACCTCAACTCCTCGTCTCTTACCCGCGAGCTGAGGCTCGCCGCCCGCGCGAAACGGGCAGCCGAGAGGTCGCGAGTTCAATTCCTGGCGAACATGAGTCATGAGCTGAGGACGCCGATTAACGGCGTGCTGGGGTATGCACAGCTGATGATGCAGACCCAATTGGATCCGGAGCAACAGTCTTACCTGCAGAGCATCTACGAGTCGGGAGAAGTGCTGCTGGGAACGGTCTCTCAGGTAAGGGCTTCATCTTGCGCTGCTGTGAGGGCTAAGAGAGGGTCAGTGAGGTGAGTGGGGTATGTACAGCTGATGATGCAGACCCAATTGGATCCGGAGCAGCAGTCTTACCTGCAGAGTATATACGAGTCGGGAGAAGTGCTGCTGGGAACGGTCTCTCAGGTAAGCGTTTCTTTTGGCGCTGCCTTGTGGGTAAAGTGAGGTGAGGTGAGTGGGGTATGCACAGTTGATGATGCAGACTCAGCCTACTCCATAGCAGCAGTCGTAACTGCAGTGTAAGTACGAGCCTGGGGAGGTGCTGCTTGAAACCGTCTCTCAGGTAAGCATTTCCTTTAGTGCTTCCAGATATAGTCTTTAGTGCTGCTGGGATATCCCCCACGCCCGAGCCTGTTTCCACCCTTGACACCCCCTTTCACCCATTAGCACCATAATTCACCAATTAACACCACTCTTTACCCTTCCATACCACCAGGTGTTGGAGATGAGTCAGCTGCAGAAGCGAGAGGTGGTGCCAAGGCGGGTGTGGTTTGATCTGCACAGGGCGATTGGGGAGGCGGCTGGCAGGGAGCATGCGACCTCCCTGTAATTTACGTTTTGTCCTCCTCTGCGCCGCTCTGCACCCTTGCACACTCTCTTCTTTCAGGTGTTGGAGATGAGTCAATTGCAGAAGCGAGAGGTGGTGCCAAGGCGGGTACGGTTTGATCTGCACAGGGCCATTGGGGAGGCGGCTGGCAGCATGCGACCTCTGGCGCACAGGAAAGGGCTGCAGGTGGGTGCTGCTGGGTGCAGGTGAGTACAGGTGTGTCCAGGTGTGTACAGGTGTGAGCTGACTCTTTACTGTGTGTCAGTCGCGGATAGGAAGGGCTGCGCAAATGGTGCCAAGGCGGGTACGCTTCGATCTGCACAGGGCCATTGGGGAGGCGGCTGGCAGCATGCGGCTTCTGGCTCACAGGAAAGGGCTGCAGGTGGGTGCCAATGGGTGCTGGTGGGTGCTGATGGGTGCTGGTTCGGGAGGGAAGCAGAGGGGTGTGGGTCAGAGGGTGATTGCAGGTAAGGCTGGGTAAAAGGGAGGTGGTGCCAAGGCTGGGTAAAAGGGAGGTGTTGCCAAGGCTGGGTAAAAGGGAGGTGTTGCCAAGGCTGGGTAAAAGGGAGGTGGTGCCAAGGCTGGGTAAAAGGGAGGTGTTGCCAAGGCTGGGTAAAAGGGAGGTGTTGCCAAGGCTGGGTAAAAGGGAGGTGTTGCCAAGGCTGGGTAAAAGGGAGGTGTTGCCAAGGCTGGGTAAAAGGGAGGTGTTGCCAAGGCTGGGTAAAAGGGAGGTGTTGCCAAGGCTGGGTAAAAGGGAGGTGTTGCCAAGGCTGGGTAAAAGGGAGGTGTTGCCAAGGCTGGGTAAAAGGGAGGTGTTGCCAAGGCTGGGTAAAAGGGAGGTGTTGCCAAGGCTGGGTAAAAGGGAGGTGTTGCCAAGGCTGGGTAAAAGGGAGGTGTTGCCAAGGCTGGGTAAAAGGGAGGTGTTGCCAAGGCTGGGTAAAAGGGAGGTGTTGCCAAGGCTGGGTAAAAGGGAGGTGTTGCCAAGGCTGGGTAAAAGGGAGGTGTTGCCAAGGCTGGGTAAAAGGGAGGTGTTGCCAAGGCTGGGTAAAAGGGAGGTGTTGCCAAGGCTGGGTAAAAGGGAGGTGTTGCCAAGGCTGGGTAAAAGGGAGGTGTTGCCAAGGCTGGGTAAAAGGGAGGTGTTGCCAAGGCTGGGTAAAAGGGAGGTGTTGCCAAGGCTGGGTAAAAGGGAGGTGTTGCCAAGGCTGGGTAAAAGGGAGGTGTTGCCAAGGCTGGGTAAAAGGGAGGTGTTGCCAAGGCTGGGTAAAAGGGAGGTGTTGCCAAGGCTGGGTAAAAGGGAGGTGTTGCCAAGGCTGGGTAAAAGGGAGGTGTTGCCAAGGCTGGGTAAAAGGGAGGTGGTGCCAAGGCTGGGTAAAAGGGAGGTGTTGCCAAGGCTGGGTAAAAGGGAGGTGGTGCCAAGGCTGGGTAAAAGGGAGGTGTTGCCAAGGCTGGGTAAAAGGGAGGTGTTGCCAAGGCTGGGTAAAAGGGAGGTGTTGCCAAGGCTGGGTAAAAGGGAGGTGTTGCCAAGGCTGGGTAAAAGGGAGGTGTTGCCAAGGCTGGGTAAAAGGGAGGTGGTGCCAAGGCTGGGTAAAAGGGAGGTGTTGCCAAGGCTGGGTAAAAGGGAGGTGTTGCCAAGGCTGGGTAAAAGGGAGGTGTTGCCAAGGCTGGGTAAAAGGGAGGTGTTGCCAAGGCTGGGTAAACGGGAGGTGTTGCCAAGGCTGGTGCGGTTTGATCTGCACAGGGCCATTGGGGAGGCGACTGGGAGCATGCGGCCTCTGGCGCACAGGAAGGGGTTGCAGGTGGGTGCTGATGGGTGCTGCTCAGTGCTGGTGGGTGCAGGGTGATTTTTAGTGGGTATTGGTGTGTGTAGCATGGTGGTGGGTAGCAACTGGGGGCTGCCTCGTTGCTGGCAGAATGTGGTCTCTTGCACACGGGAATCCCATTGCCCTTCTCTCTCGTTCCCTGACATCCCTCCCCGTTCTCACCCCTCACCAGTTCGGATCAGCATGGACAGGGCAGTGCCGCACGCAGTCCTGGGGGACCCATCCATGCTGCGCCAGCTGCTGCTGCACCTGCTCCCCTCCTTGTAATGCAAATGGTGCTCATTCTCTCGCTTCCTCCCTCTTCCCCCATACATCCTCCCCCATCCCAGATCGGGGGATCAGCATGGACAGGGCAGTGCCGCACGCAATCCTGGGCGACCCATCCATGCTGCTGCACCTGCCCCCCCTGCTTCTGCTGGTGGTGCTGATTCTCTCGCTTATTCCCTCTTCTCCCATGTCCCCCCCTCCCACCTCCCCTCTCCAGTTCGGGATAAGCATGGACAGGGCAGTACCCCACGCAGTGCTGGGGGATCCATCCATGCTCTATCTTGCCATCCGCCCCATGCCTCTTCTCCCGTGCACCCCCCTCTCGCTTCCTCCCTCTTCCCCCGTACATCCTCCCCCATCCCAGTTCGGGATCAGCATGGACAGGGCGGTGCCGCACGCAGTCCTGGGGGACCCATCCATGCTGCGCCAGCTGCTCCTTGCATGTCCCTGTCCTCGCTTTCCTCATCCATCCCTTCGCCATCCCCCCCTTTTCCCCTCCCAGTTCGGGATCAGCATGGACAGGGCAGTGCCCCACGCAGTGCTGGGGGACCCATCCATGCTGCGCCAGCTGCTGCTGCACCTGCTCTCCAACGCCCTCAAGTTCACCCACCAAGGCACCGTGCAGCTCACTGTTCGCGTGCTGGCCCCTCCTGGCGCTGCTGCTGCTGCTGCTGGTGCCGCTGGTGCTGCTGGTACTGCTGGTTCTGGTGGGGGAGCGGGGGCGGGAGGGAAGCAGAGGGGTGTGGGTCGGCGGGTGTCTCAGGTTATGGGCAAGGCAGGGGACGCGTTGCAAGGGGGGCTAGCGGGGCGAGAGCAGCAAGAGCAGGAGAAGCAGCAGGTAGGGCAGGTGCAAGGGGATATGGAGTGCCATTCAACTGCGGACACTCGGGTTCTGTGGGGGAGTAGTGAAGAGGGAACAAGTAGGAGGGAGGGAGGGGCTGTTGAGGCATGTGAAACTATGATGACTGCTTCAGAAGGCGAGTTGCTGCCGGTTGCTGCAGAGAGGAAGAGAAAAGAGAGGGAGAGGGAAGTGAGGGAGAGGGAAGAGAGGGAGAGGGAGGAGAAGGAGCGGGCGGAAAGGGAGGGGAAAGCGCGGGAGGGGGAAGCAAACGAGGGAGAAGAGGCAGAGAAAGACGGACCCGGGACAGAGTTCAAAGAATCAAATCAGATCACAAGGCTTTCTTTCGAGGTGGTGGATACAGGAGTGGGAGTGCCGCCCAACATGCTCCATCAAATCTTCAAGCCCTTCGTGCAAGTGGACGACTCCGCCGCCCGGGAGTATCAGGGCCTTGGGCTGGGATTGGCTATTGCGCAATCGCTTGTGCGGCTTCTGGGCGGCGAGGGGATACATATTGAGAGTGAACCGGATAAGGGGTCTTGTTTCGCGTTTACCCTTCCTTTTGAGGTGTGGAAAGGGGAGGCGAGGGGTGGAAGGGAGAAGAGGAGGAGAAGGGAGGGTGAGATTGTGGGAGGGGAGAGAGGGGAGGTGGAGGGAGAGGGAGGATCGGGGAGAGAGGTTCTCGAAGGGGGGTTCGGGGATAGAGGCCGAGGGAGGGGCAAGCGAGCAAGGATAGTTGAGGAGAGATTAGATGTGGTGAGGATGGGTGGGGAGAGGTTCCAGTCGTTTGAGGCTGATACAGGGGAGATTGGTAGGTTAGTAGCAGAGGGGGGTGAGCGTGGGGAGAGCAGTAGGGCAGGGGAAGAGGGAGAGGACGCGAGGAAGGGAGTTGCAGGGAGTGTGAAGCGGAAGCGAAGAGAGGAGGGTGGTGATGATGAGATGGGGATAAGACAGGAGCGTCAGGGGGAGGAGGTGGGTGGAGGAATGTGGGGAGAGGTGCAGGGGGGGCGGTGGGGGGAGGAGCAGGGAGGGGAGTGGGGAGAAGAGGGAAGTGATGAGATGGAGGAGGAGAGAGGGAAGAACAGAGGGGAGGGGAGGGGGGAGAGTAGCAATGTGTTGGCACGGAGAGAGGAGGCGAGGAGAAGGAAATGGAGGGTGCAACACGACAGGGGTTTCTTCAGCGGGGCAAGGCGTGCCAATAAGGGCCGTTTCGAAGAGCCTCAGAAGCAAGACCAGGGGTTTTCCAGTGGGGCTGGGCCGAGAGGGGAAGGGCGCTTTGCTGAATCGAATCCCTTGGGTGCCGCGTTGATCCGAACCACCAGCCCTATCAGTGCTGCTCTGCTCCGGTCCGACATTCCTCTAGGCGCTCCTATGGGCACGTCTATATGTGCTCCTATGGATGGTCCTGAGGGTGCTTCCTTGGGCGCTTCTCTGGGTGCTTCCCTGGGCGGTTCTCTGCGGGATTTCGCCAGTGAGCCGCTCTCACGTGACCCTGCAGTGCAAGCCCAGGGGGATGATCCTGCACCTGTGAGTGCTGATGCCCCTGAGGGGGACCGTACACCAGAGGGGTGTGAGGCTGCCGTTGAGATGCTGCCCATGCGTCGGCCAGGCTCGGGTTTAAGCTCGGCTGTAGGTTCGGATTTAGGCTCGGGAAGCTTGGGGTTGGGGTCAGGGTTAGGCTCTGGCTCAGGCTCAAGTTTAGGCCGGTCAGGATTAGGCCCAGGGTTGGGGTCAGGGTTGGGGTCAGGGTTGGGGTCAGACTTGGGGTCAGGCGCGCTTGTGGAGCCTTCACAGCCGGTGATGCCACATCAACCTGGCTTGGGTGAGAACTGTCAGAGAACATTCGTCTCTTCTCCTGCCAGCCTGGCAGCAGATGGGGCCACTGCAGCTACAGCTGCGGCTGTAGCGGGTGCGTCCTCTCTCAGGGGTTCCCAAGGAGCAAATGCAGCCACCAAAGGAAGAGCAGCTGTTGCAGTGGGAGCAGCAGCTGTGTTAACAGAAACCCATAATACACCTCAAGCAGCGGGTGCTGGGCGACTTGGCGTGGTGGTAGGCAGCAGCGAGGCAGTGAATCGCAGTGTATTACAGCCAGTGGCAGCGGCGGCAACAGCACCAACAGCAGCCGCCGTAGCAGGTGTAGCAGCTGTAGCACGCGGCAATAAGGCAGGGCCGGCAGGCACGGCGGGTGCAGGCAAGACAGGCACGGGGCTCAAGTGCCTTGTGGTGGATGACAATGCAGTCAACCGCAGTGTTTTGCAGCGGCTGCTGCGGTCGCTCGGAGCAGAGCAGTTGGTGCTGGCCCGGAACGGCGCAGAGGCTGTCGCGGTGTGTGAGAAGGATGGAGAGGGGTTGGATGTGGTGTTTATGGATCTTCATATGCCGGTGATGGATGGGTTTGAGGCGTCGGCACGGATTCTCGGGCTTTGGAGGAGTCGGTATGGGTCGGATGCGGTGCCGAGGACTAGTAGCATGTCGCAACAGCATCAAGCAGTGCAGCCCTTGCAGCAGCAGCAGGTGCAACTGCAGCAGCAAGAATATTCATTCCGGTACAGACCGCTGCTTGTTGCAATTACTGCAAGTGCATTGGAGGAGGAAGAGGAGAAGTGTAGGAAGGTGGGTATGGATTTCTTTCTCACCAAGCCAGTGAGATTAGCTTCCCTGCGAAGTCTTCTCGACCAGGTGAATGCTGGCAAATAACTAAGTAGTTCCTGCTTCCGGCGCTTAATTCTCTTATAGGTGCAATGCGGCTGTATCTAGGCCACAGCCACGTTGAGTTGAGTGGCATCCCTGTCAATCTGAGTGATTAGTTTCTTTCGTGTGGATGTTGGTCTCTTCACATGGAGTACACCTATGAAGGCTCACGAATTCCATAGTGCAATCAGGAAAGCATCAAACCTAGGTGGATATCCCCTCAGTTGTGACGATACACACACTGTTGCGATGAGAGCTGTGAAGGGGTCCTGATTCCTGACTGAATTAAAATCTGAAGCTGGTTAGGATAGGCTTGAAAACAGCTCAATGCAGAAAATCAACCGAATAACCGAATGTCAATCAAGCACTAATAACGATTTCCTGAAGAAGCTTAATTCGAATCGGAGTCATCATTGCACTTCGGTGTTTCGCGAAGGCTCACGCTTAAGCGCGCCACGAGTCAGAGAGAAGGTCGTAGGCCATCGCCCATTGGCGGAAATTAGGTTTTGCGACGCCCTTGGGATCGTCGGGGCTCTACCTGATGGACCGTTCATCCAGCCCTGGCGTCCCACCTGATTGGATCTGGTCAACCCTTTCTTGTCCAATCCCCTCATGATGTTCCTATCTCTATTGCTGCTTGAATCGCTAGAAGGAAGACATAAGAAGTCCGTTCTGTGGAATTGCTACTGCTGGATTCTTCCTTCAGCTCAGGTCCTCAGAAGCCCTAACCTGGTCAGTGCTCAAGACAGGAGTGTTGATGTCGTTCATCCGTTTCCAGCGCTTGTCGCATTCGACATGGGATATAGATCCGCTACTTTTGTTCGTTATTTCGGTCGTCTCGTAGCTCTTTTAACCTTCTGTAATTTTTGTACGTGCAGTTACCATGGAGGCCTTCGCCACGCCGTACCCCATTTTCTTTCACGATGGAGAGAAGGACGTGAACAAGGGGGTTGTTGGAATTCATTCCTGTTTGACTTTTAAGCGATTCCAGTCCATGGCTGGACAAAAGGCCGGTCTTCCGCCAGCTACTCTATCAACGGTGCTAGTCTGTAGAAAGTCTTCTGGCAACACGGAGAAGAAGCAGAAGCTTCCTATCAACGAGCATACGAACTTCAGCATTATCCTGAACCAGCATAATCCAAGTCGCGAGAGGGATTGCCATTTTCTGGTGTCCTTGAAGAAATCGAAGAAGGAACGAAGAGCAGCGAAGAAGAAGGTTTCAGAACCAGAATATATCGAAGCGGAGGGGTCTGTTGCAGCTTCCAGCACGCCGTCTTCACCCAAGAGCGTGGATGATGTCTCTCTATTCAAGGATAAACTTGACTCTAGCTCGTCTGACGATGAGGCAAGTGACTCTCGTTCTGGGGAGCATCAGAAGCAGTTACCTCCTTTTGACAAGAGTTCCTCAACGAATGAGACGAGACACGCAGCTGTTGAACCATCTCAACCACCAGTTTCAGTGTGGAAGTCTGGATCTGCGTTGAAGATTTTGAAGGGTCAAGAGGCATCGAAGCCTGCAGCAGTGCAAGAAGAAGCCGTTAATAGTGGAAGCGCTGCTGCTGGCGACATGGGTGCAAGAGGTGTTTCTGTTCAAGGGAAGCCGCATCCATCTGTCACAGCACCTAATTCTCATGCAGGTTTTCCAAGCTTACCTGTTACGATTCTCAACAACCCACTTGACAGTAACATGCGGTCTTCTTCCGGTGGTGGACGAACAATGGATGGTCTAGCGGACTCAAGGGCTGGACATCCCGTTGCCAGAGTGGTCCCAACAGCTGACAAGTTCACAGCAAGTACTCTGTCCTCTGCAGCAGCTGCAGCCTCTGCTGTGGTCCAAGCACACTCATTTCAGCATTCACATGCGATTCCTGCTGGTGGCTTTACACTGTTTGGACCTGATTTAAGCAGTGTTGCTTTGGGCAACATGTTCCACAATGCCATGGCAATGGACTTGAGATTTGGGATGCGAAAGCTCTGCCACTTCTGTTCTTTCTGCCAGGAGAGGCGCATTGTGTCGGTGCCTTTTCACTGGTGCGTGGATGACCAAGTGGTGACTGGGTTCAAAGGCCCTTCACCAGCAGGGCCCATTGGAAGACGATACAACAAGCACAGGGTGGGAGTAATGGCATAGTCAGTTCCAGCTGTTGGTTGGTTTGGTACATGCTGTATATTTGGACACTGTCAGTGTGAGGGTCCTTTCATTATTTGGGCACTTGGATGCAAGCTTGGTAGGCAGCAGAAACCACTGCTATTTCCTTGGCAAATATGAATATCACTCATGGTGATGTAAATAGAACGGTGAAGGGGTGTTGGCGAATTTTACATGTGTGGTGTACATAGCACGAAAATTGTCAACGTCTGCCGTTACGCAAATGGCGGGAACAACGCTAACGGGAAGGCGTCAGAGTGTTGCGAACCTCGTACACGATGGTCGTGGCCAATCCGATCTGCTTGCGCCAAACGATTTTCGGCCGGTTTTCGTGAGCCGTCAAGCTCCGACAACCCCCGAAACAACCACGCGGTTCGGGCCATGACATGCGAAATTGAAGGTGTGCTGTTGAGTGAGACATGCTACACATTCATATCAATAAGAGCCATCATGCCCTGGGAATGGATGGAGAGGTAGTTGTTTATGGCGGGAGCTGCTGCTGAGCTGACCTTCGCATGCCGCATGCAAGCTGAGGTGGGGGCATTTCAATCGTCGATTCAGCTGCAACTCACTCACTAGACAATCTCAAGGATACTCTTAGTGGAGACACCTAACACAGAACTGCGCGAAGCCTCATTTCAGGAAAAATCATTTCATCGCCAGCGCTTGAAATCCATGGTCGTCCTTCAAGAGTCGCTGCTCTTCCCACGCGTGCTAGCTCCGAGCTAGCCTTATTTCCTCGCATCCCTTTTGTGTAACCTCCGTCACCGTTTCGTCCGCGAGTCTTTCAGTCGTAACGGTAATTACCGCTTCTGCGATTAATGTAACCATGACGTCCAATATCACAGTATCGACTTTTCGCCTACGTCTCTAGTCCTCTCAAGCTGATCCCAATCTGGGAAGAATATCTCTCGGAGAAATTATATTCTACTAGTGGCCTCACAGTGACAGGAATTAGAGACTTTAGGACGCATTTCGAGTGTACTTTTTTTTATAATGGAAGACGACTCTTATATCCCGCTAGGCACTCCGCCGATTCGGAAGCTCCCTTCTGGCGCGGCGCGCCATGGCGGGCGATCCGCAGGGGTTCCGCGCAAGCGCCGCCGCATCCTCAACCCCGCGCACGTGGACGTCGTCGCTTCCCCCGGAGCCAGCCCCGAGCGGCGGCCTTTCGAGTCCGACACGCCGACTCGCAACGCGATCGACGCGCTGATCAAAAGCGCCCCCGGCGCTTCGGTTAGAAACGCGCCTGGAGCTTCGCGCGGGGAAGGTTTCTTTTCCGCGGAACAGACTGGCACGGGTCTGTTTTCCGGCCGCCGTGTGCTGTTTCCGGGCGGGGAGTTTGACGGGGCTGGAAGGGGGAACGGCGGGAGCGAAGTGGGGACGGAGGGGAAGGGTACCGAGGGAGTCGCGGGGAAGAACGCATCGGGGGAAGTTGTTGGCGCAATGGCGGGATTGGCGGTTTACCGGCGACTGGCGTTTGGGGACGAGCGAGCGGAAGGGCGGGAGGGTAGCCGAACGACGCTCAAAGCTGATGGTGAGGCTGAACGAGAAAGTGAGCAAGAGGAAAAAGCGGGAGAGGGCAAGAGCGATAAGGCGGTAGAGGAGGATGAGAGAGAGGTGGAGGAGGAGGTGGAGGAGGATGAATTGGAGCTAGAGATAGTGTATGCGGAAGAAGGTGAGGGGAGGAAGCAGAGAGAGGAGGGTGGCGAGGAGGATGTGAGAGGAGAAAGCAAGGGAGATGGGGAAGAGAAGGGTCGAGAGAAGGAGGTTAGAACGAGGAAAGATAAGCTCAAGGTCTCAGGAGACCCAGGGATTTCCAGAGTCACCGCTGCCGTTATTCCTGCTGTCAGTGCTGCTGTTGCCGCTGCCGCTGTAGCCGACAGTGCCGTGACTCGTTTCTCGTCGTCTAATAACGCGGACGGGGATGACCTGTTTCGGTGGAACCGCATCCATAGAGGGAGCACTGGGCCCGGGGGACGCGGAAGCGGATCCAGTGGGCCCAAGACACGTGGCGAGGTGCTGGCAGCCATGGTGGGCGTTCAGATGCCACGTCAGCAAGGGGTACGAAGCATGGCGCCGGATATGGAGGGGCGGATAACGGCCGCAGCAGCAGCTGCAGGGGGAGTGAGAAGCGGACGGGCTGGTGTGTCCCCGATACAGTCACCTTCGAAAGGAGCAGCTATTAAAAGTGCAGTGAGAGGAGATATAGGTGCAGAAGCAGGAGGAGGAGGAGCGAGGAGCGCGAGATCAGCAACAGGCTTGGCAGCAGCAGCAGCGGCGGCAAAGGCGGAGGCTGACGATCTTCCACCACAGTGAGTCCCTCGCTACTTACCGTCCTGAACCGTCTTGAAACGGCCTGAACCGTCCAGTATCCTCCCGTATCTCTCGCTACCCCCCTGTCACCCTGCACCCCTCTGCACCCCTCTGTGTTGACCTGTATCAGCCTGTTTGATCTCACTTTTTCCAAACCTTTCTTCCAGTCTCCGCTCGTCTCAGCCCTTCTCCTCCTGCCTTAGGATTCACCGTCACCTTTCCTCTCCCGTCCCCTTCTCCGCTTCCCATTCCCCTTCCCCTCCCTGGCCCCGTCTTTGCGCCCCTCCTCTCTCCCCTGACATTTCCCACAAACGTCTCTCCCACCTCTTTCTACACCTGCGAAGGTTCCTGGAAATCGCGCAGCTGTTCGACGCGCTGGAGCTGAGTTGCCGCCTGCTGCGCGCGAGGAAGCTTCTGTGCTCCTTCCAGGCGATTAAAGATGCGGTCCAGGACGTGACTAAGAGGCGCTTCACTCAGCGGCACCTGGCGCAGATGCTGTTCGTGGGGGGTGGCGGGGGAGGGGCCGGGGGAGGAGGGGGAGATGGGGGGGTTGGAGTGAAGGGAGAAGGGGTAAAGGAGAAGGAGGACGGAGGAAAGGAAGGGAAGGAAGGGCGAGGAGGTGGAGTTGGTGGGAGTGGGGGGGGGAACAGGGGAGGAGATGGAGATGAAAAAAAGATTTCACTGAGTCCTCTTGCACTTAGCAAAACAACACTTAGTAAATCAGATGCTCTCAGCAGGGCGTCTGCCCGCCAGGCGGTGCTTGGCGTTCCGCTGCTCAGAGTGGAATCCGTTCTTCTGCCGGAAAAAAACTCCTCTCCTGTGAAGTTCTCAGGGGCTGCGGGCAGGGCGGCAAGGTTTGGACGTAGCGTGTGGGATCTGAAGATAATATTGGAGAGTGAAGGGGAGGGGAAGGGGGACGATGGTGAAAGTGATTTGTCTGCAGCTGCGGATAATGGTTCAGGGGGCGTTGGAGGGATAGCAGGAGGTGAATTGGCATCAGGCATTGCAGGAGGGACAGGCATGGCAGCAGGCATGGCAGGAGGCATGGCAGGAGGCATGGCAATAGGCACAGGCATGGTAGGAGGGAGGGTGAGGAGCGAGGAGGGCGACATGCTGTGGCGGAAAAGAGAGTTCCGGGCAAGGCTGGGGAGACTGGCTCGTGCCATGGGGGCAGTGGGAACGGACAAGGATGTGACTGCAGCAGATGTGACTATACCGGAGGAGACTCTGCCAGACCCACTCTCTCCCTCCCCAGCATCAGCTTTAGAGTCTCGTGCATCTGTTAATGCTCATGCCACTCACTCTAGTCACACTCATTACAGTCACACTCGCTCTACTCACCCTGTCAGTCGCAGGAGTCTATTTCCTGACGCATCCACCAACCCTACCTTTGCCGAAGCGGGTCTAGGCTCGGCGCCAACAGCTGCACCCTTTGCCAGGCCTGTTTTGCAGTCCCGGCCAATTTCCCCAACCCATCGCCATCGGCCTGCTTCGGCAGATAGGGTCGGCAGGAATCCGAACCCAGACTTGGGCGCTCGTGTGAGGGTGGACCTCACTCCGTCGTTGGATCGCTTGGCTCGCCGGACCAACGTGGGAGGTTTGGCAGGAGCAGCTGAAGATGGGTCCGAGCAGGCTAGGGCAGCACGGCAGCTGCTGTTTGGAGGAACGGCGGAGGTTGCTAGGGTTAGTGGTGGGGCTTCAGGTGCTGCTGGTGCTGCTGGTGCTGCTGGTGCTGCTGGTGCTGCTGGTGTTGCTGAAATAGCCAGAAAAGGAGTTGAGGAGGGAGAGGAAGAGGTGTGGGGTGGTGATGTGGTAGGGGAGCTGGAGCCGCTGCAGCAGCAGGGAGTGGGGGAAGGTGGAGAACAAGTTGGAGCGGTTGGGAGGGGTGGAGGAGACAGCGATGGGGAGGGTGGGGGAAGTGACTCAGAGATCCTGTCTCGCCTGCCGCAAGGGCTCGTACACTCGGTGTGTCAACCTTCCATTTCTATTTCTCACTTTACGGTAGTGTGCTGTGAGTGTGACTTCTTCTGCCTCTAGCCTCCAACGCTCCCTTCCTCCCTCCCTCTTCTCATCCTTCCCTCATCCTTCCAAACCCAACTTCCAGGTTCGAAAGCGTGAGGAGCAGCAGCGTGCTGAGGCTACGGACGAGGCGCGGCAGGCGCGGCGGCGGCGGCTGCTGCTGGCGGAGCTGCCTCTCCTAACCGACATGGTAGTCGCTCTCTTTGCCAGCTGTCGCGCTGCCGTGCTGCCACATAGGGACCTTGTGGTCCGGCTGGTGGCCAATCACAGCAAGCAGACCAACCAAGGTATGATCTTGTGGGGTACAAGAATTGATACCACCATGCGTAATACCTCATGTGACCGTGAAAATGCTGAGTCAGCTCTCTGTTCTTTCGTCACTTTACCAGATTTGTTGCAAGTTTTTTTTTCGCCATTGACAGTGTTGGGTGGTTATGCCTCTAATCCCAGTGTTTCATGTTATTTCTGGCCCCCATGTTTCAGAGGAGATTGAGGAACAGTTGAAGATTCTAGAGGAGATAGCGCCAGATTGGTTGTGCGCTAAGATGTCCCTTCGAGGGGAGAAACTGTATCGGTAAGTGCATTTGTTTATGAATGAAATTCAATCAGCTCTCTGCCTTCGTAGTTGCTGTGGCAGGTAATCACGATGCTGTTTTAGCTACTGTAACTTCCTTTCCACACGCACGTAGTAAAAATGCTTGGCTCAAATAACTGATGTTGTTGCATTTGGGTGTCATGGTTCGTCTTGCCTTGCCCACAGATTGTCCAAGGTGGTGATGGCCGCACACGTGAAGGCGCGGGTGAAGGATGAACAGAAGCTTGATCCAGAGCAGCACCAGCACGCACCATCACGCTGTTCTATGCATGGTGCTTCCGAGGTTAGAAGGAGCTTGTTTTAGTAGGCTCGAGCAGGGGATGAAGCGTCACCCAAAAGGAAGGGTTGGATAGGTTCACAAGGCATGTTTACTAATCAATCAGGTGCATAGGTTCACAAGGCATGTTTACTAATAAATCAGGTGCATAGGTTCACAAGGCCTGTTGACAAATACATGCATAAATCCAACTTATCAAGGAATACGGGGGTGGGAGAATGTACATGAGTAAAGAGTAGTAGAGTTTGCTGCTGTTTTAGGTACCGGTACACGTGTCTAGATTTTGTTGCTAAATTTACTGTGCTATACAAACGAATTCGGAGGTTCAGGGTTTGTGTTGTGCGCCATCGGAGCGGATCGTCCGAGGTGGCACGCTGCGGAAGCTTGTGCTGACAGCAGATCGTTTTCCCCACGCCCGGCGTTCCACAAAAGGTGGAACGCACACATTTGTCCCCCCTTCCGTTTGATACCAGCAGAAAATCGTCTCCCGCTCCGTGGTCAAAAGCGATTCTCTGCAATGCTGCGATTGTTACTACGGTGGGATACGGTTTGTTGTCGGATCTTGCTGGGTGCTTTAGTGCTCCTGTATCAGAAAACCACATCTGCTTCAGATTCAAAAGCTTCTCTGAAAACCGTTTCTGAGAAATCCATTTTCGAGCTTAGTCAATCTGAAGCTGCTGCTTCTTCCGCCGATCTCCAAACGTGCCAGAGCCCTCAGCTTCAGCAGCAATAAAAAACAGACACAATGACGGTCAGTGATGGTCACATCCACATTTTTCCGTGTCTAGATCTACCTTTGTCTGTCTTACTCCAGTTGACAGAGATTCTGCTTCTCGGGGCTCCAGTTCCGTCTCTTTGTGGAAGCAATGATCTTAACTAACGCGATCCCTTTTTCTCGGTTTCAGGAACGATCCTACGTCATGATCAAGCCCGACGGCGTTCAACGCGGCCTTGTAAGTCGCACCCCGTACCTCTGAAAGTTCTGAAGAACCCGACGTGGTTTTGATCAAACTTCTTGCAAGCCATTGTTATATGCTGTAACAACTGGCTCAATGAGAAGCTCAAGGGACCGATTCGACCTGTTAATTGCTGCCCCTTCGAGAGTTGCTGTCATCTTGATCTCTCACATTGGACTCCCCAACCTCCTTCAAATCCCGACCTTCCCTATAGGAACCTCTGCTCATACAGTCCCTTGCGATTTTGTCACTTATCGTGCGCGCAGGTCGGGGAGATCATCGGCCGGTTCGAGCGCAAGGGTTTCGTTCTGCGAGGCCTGAAGCTGTTCCAGTGCCCCAAGGAGCTGGCCGAGGAGCACTACAAGGACCTTGCCGACAAGCCCTTCTACAAGGGTCTCGTCGACTACATAATCTCCGGCCCTGTTGTCGCCATGGTATGTTCAACTCTCGGTTGTGCTACAGTATCTTGCGGGTTTAGAGAACTGGGAATTTGATACCTGAATGGTCAGGTTTCAGGCGTGGTGTGTGCAGTTCCATATATACGGTTACAGGACAGAATCACATTCTAAGCATAGACATACCGCACCACACTCACGCGAGGCTGCAACTTCCGCGTGAGCACATATAAAAATCGCATCATTAACTAATTTGAACATCACGCTGTTGTCTTGCAGGCCTGGGAGGGCAAGGGTGTGGTGGCTTCAGCTCGCAAGCTGATTGGCGCCACCAACCCCCTTGCTTCCGAGCCCGGCACCATCCGTGGTGACCTTGCTGTCGAGGTTGGCAGGTAAGATTTCTAGTCCTCATCATCTTATCATCATTTGCTGCATGCGACTGGATCTGCCAGCGTTCTTTTGGTCGATCACATTATATCAGCACCTTGTTCTCGAGTTTTTTTATACGTCTCTTGTAATCAATATATTCTGCTCTTGCCTAACAGGAACGTCGTGCACGGGAGTGACAGCGTGGAGAATGGCGAGCGTGAGATTGGTAAGTACATGATTCCTGCAAAGGCTTCTGAACATTCTCGACATGACCTGCAGATGTTCCCATATCGCAGTGAACGAATTCGTGCTCTTGCTGAACCAGACTTTCAGCCCTTTTGCCTGAACCTCAGTCCAACTTGTTTCCATGCGCTCTCTCACGTTGGCAGGCTTGTGGTTCAAGGAGGCAGAGCTTATCAAGTGGGACCCTACACTTCTCCCTTGGCTGCGCGAGTAAAGCGTGAAGCAAGCTTGAAATACAGCTGGATTGCTTTCAGCTTCACCAATTTGCTCAGTGTTGTCTTCGGTGTACTAATACAAAGCCATGAGATAAAGCACTTGCTGTTCAAGATGTGCGCCAATTAACAACTGTCCAGATTTAACAAGTCCTATAATGACATGGAGCAGAAAAGGTATGATTCCTCCAGAATCAGCCAAATCAAGGGGACCTGTCGTGAAACAAGAAGACCATATCGAATCATTGTCTACCAGTGAAACTAGAGTGTTAGTAGTGAGAGTGAATAGAGGATACAGAGGTTGTGGTTTCTTTTACTGCGCAGACAATAAAACGTAGCTATGATATAGCAAGGGACCCAGCTAGGTGCAGACAACCCTTACCAAATTTGCCCTCTCTCGTGTCTACATTCTGAATTGATGGTTGGGATCGTACGCACATGCCCTCGTTGTTGGATTGACAAAAAAATGACTGTTCATGAACTTGCATTGCATGATCATTATTGACAGTGCAACTTGGTCAGTTTCAAAGGCCTGGAACACATCACTCCCTCAACCACGGGGTTGAAACAGGCTCCCAGTCGCACACCTCGCCCTCCTTGAACCAGAGCCCTGCTCAGAGGGGTATAAAATGCATCCAGGGGAGAGGGAGGAATGCGATGGGGTGCATGGGAGTGATGCAGGCATACAGTATAAGAAGTGGCCAAAGCATACTTTCATTGAGCTTGACACGGAGAGAGAAATAGGCACAGAAATGTCACCAAAGCCGGGGGAATGTGGAGAGTACCGTAATTGGACAAACAAGGGTGAGATTCGGGAGGGAAGAGAGATGGAGGGTGCAAAGTGGCATAAGTAGATGAGAGAACTCACCGATTTCGCGCTCGCCATTCTCGATGCTGTCACTGCCGTGGACAACATTCCTGGATATACAGAACAGGCACGGAGAATGTGTTGGTTATCTCGAATGTCTATGGCCTGAACAGATTGTTCTATCAGAGCAAGAGACTGCGTGAGCATTCCATGCATACATGCCCTGATTCTAGAGTAACCATACCTGCCAACTTCCACTGCAAAATCACCACGGATGGTGCCCGGCTCCGCAGCCAAGGGGTTCGTGGCGCCAATCAGCTTGCGGGCTGAAGCAACCACTCCCTTGCCTTCCCATACCTGCCAGAAACAGGAAAGCGGAGTGGTACGAAGGTCGAAGTAGATGATCCAGGAACGATTGCCAGAATGCAGAATGCGGGCAGGAAATGTGAAGTTACACATTGGTTTATATCTTACCATGGCGACAACTGGGCCTGAGATGATGTACTCAACCAGCTTGCCATAGAAGGGCTTGTCAGATAGCTCCTTGTAGTGCTCCTGCTCATGGTTGCGACAAGGGGGAGGGGAGGGGTGAGGAGGGGGAGGACTTTTAGGTGGCGAGAGTATTGAGTGATTACAGAGGAGCCAAGTTGTGGTGATTCGATTGACGTGCCAGTTCTAGATTGCTCGCCACTCTCTCTCCTTTCCATGCTGGCAACTCGAAACTGTGTCGATAGCACATTGTACCGCATCACCCCCTAGCCATCATACAAACTCTCACCTTAGCAAGCTCTTCAGGGCATTGGAACAGCTTCAGTCCACGGAGGACAAAACCCTTCCGCTCGAACCGAGTGATGATCTCACCCACCTGCAATCACCATGACGGGCACCGAGACAAGAAGTGGAATCAAATAATGTAATGCAGGAACTTGCTATTCGCACAAATGTGAGCGTCAGTGATCAATTGCGTTCCTGGAAACATGATAAAGGCGAGCTTTGACTCACCAAGCCTCGCTGCACGCCGTCGGGCTTGATCATAATGTAGGACCGCTCCACAGCCTATGGTGGGGAAAGCATGAGGGAATGTCACGCAGATCGCTGAGCCATGAGCGATTGATTGTCAATAAAAGCAATTATATGAATCTCATTTCTGTGTTTATAGAAGCTGGGCAAGGTAATGACATTCGTTAAAGAACTCTTGATTTTTTTTGTTGCATGTAACCTGCATATTGCTTACTTATTTGATCTTACTGACGCACTGATTGAACAAGGCCTGTGCACATACCTCCGCCATTGCAGAGGTAGCTGCAGCCTTGCGGACGATGCGCTTGGAGCTCGCCTGAGAAAAACGAATCGAGTTCACAGATATAGAGGTGTGCTTCAGAGCTGAAGAATGCTCACACTGCGCTGTTCTCCTGACCCATTCATAGAAGTTTTAAGAATGAGAAAGTAGTGGGTGAATCTTAGCGACAGCGGGCCAAATTTACCTTAGCCACTGCCTGTCTAAGCTCCTGGCTGCGCCCAGTCAGTCGTTTCTCAGCAGCAAAGCTCAGCCTGCTACCAAAGCAGACACTAGCTCTCACAGACGCATTCGTGCGGGTCTCCTGGCAGGAAGCCAAGGAGGCGACAGTGGCTGCAGGCCGAGCAGACAAAGTGGCTGCCATGACGAGGATCTGGAAGTTAGGTTGACGCGACTACGAGAGACTTAGGTCCCCAAAAGGTATGGGTTTGGTGGTTCAAGAGTCGAAAAAAACTGAAACTCCAAGTCATGGCTTCAGGAATCAGAACTGCGACATCTTGGAGCAACTGCAGGTAATTTCTCAGTCACTTTCGCTTTCGCTCTTGGCTGTTAGCATTCTGCATTTCGCACAATGCTGTTCGCATTATGCCTATCCCGATCTGCTTTTCGCATTCTGCTTTTCGCCCTTCTCCATTGCATTTCGCAATTTGCCCTCCGCATTTCAAACATCGCACCGAATCTGATCTGACCATAATATGTTGGCATTTCTAAATGTTGCAAATGGATTGCGTGCCAGGTGGATCACTACGTGGCGTGAAACCAAACCTCCAACCTAATGACGTGGCTCTTCTGGTCCTAGCATACGTGGACAGTTCTGATCCGTTACAGTCCCTCTCGTGCTTGGAGTAAGCCACTTCCAGAGGTTGTGATGAACCATGCCCACACAGTCTGGCAGTAGAGGTTTTGAGGGGTGACAGCAGCCAACGTCAGCTGTCACCGAGGAGACTGCTGCTGCAACTTCCTTCCTCGTCGGCACCACGTGCCAGAAAAGTGTCACCGAGAAGATCCTCCTTAGCCACAAGCAACCACGCCGACGTGACGTGGCCGTAATTCCACTGGTCAGTCAGGGAGCGGGCACGTTTTCCTGACTCTCTCCACGAAAGCCCGTAAATCACTCGAGTCAGTCTGCTGAATCCGCAATTTCCTTTGCGGTGGGTAGCACGAACAAGGTACACTGGAAACATCTACAAATGTTGACAACGTAAACGTTTCTTGAGGGCAAAGTTCCTCGACGTGGGTGGTGTCCCCTGGATTACTTTTGGGTCTGAGTGCCTGAAATTGGAATAATCTATTGGACTCATGGAAAGAGATATAGAACACGCTTACTTGTATTTATGTGACCTCTGGTGTAAGTTACTCTATACAATCTCTGTAGAGAACTCCCATCCGCGATTCCATCACCTTCTGACCAGCCTGGCAGGAGGTGTCCAGATGATTCCTCCATTTCAGGAAAAGATGATCCGCCAGCGGCATCGTGCACAGCTTCCCGCTGTTGTCCCTGGGTTCTCCGTAGGTCATTGGTTCACAATCAAATGTAGAAGTTCCCTACGCATATTCGTCAACCAGAGAAACAGCGACTTCCACTAATTCTTTCCATTATCGACCCCTACAGCTGATCCCATTCTTTCCGTGATCACCAGCAGGCGGTGTTCCTTTCGCATATCTGATCAGCTCCCTCAGTTTACATTTTACACACCATAATGGCCCTCGCCATGTCGCCTGCTAAGGCTCTTTCACCAGCTTTGACTTCGTCCTTCGTCGGGCGATCCGTATCATCGGTGGCGTCTCCAGTGCAAAGAACCAACTCCTCCGCGACTCAGTCTCTCATTCGTGCGGAGCTAATGTCTTCCGATAGTGCCCCCTGGACGGGCGAGTCGTTACGATCAGAGTTCTATTCAGCAACTGCCCACACCCCTGCCCCTGGTCTTCATTCGTCAAAGCGATCTCCTACCACACCATCGGCGTCCCTCGCTGCCGTCGGACCACTTGACGAGGCTGGGGTATCTATCCGGGTGAATGACTCGGCTACTCCCAAGTTCACCCCTGAGAAAGCCAGGCTGCTGCGTTTGCGGTTGAAGGAGAGCGAGGCCCACCACGACAGGATGTACCACTCCGGTCTTGCGTCAAGACTCGCTTAAATTCACTGCGTCCTTAGGCCTAGGTCGAGTTGTCTAGATCAACTGCTGCGTGACCAGTACACTGGTAAAGTATGCTGTATTTGATTTATTAAATGTAGTCTTTTTGTCTGTAAAACGTGTGCAACTCTGAAGTTTGAAAATGTATGAACATCGATTGCCCAGCTGAGTTCACATGCGTCCACTCGGAGAAGTACTGGTACACAACATGAATCCACGGCTGATGGCAGGTCTGTTCCATTCCAATATTATCAAGAATGTAACGCGACATAGCAGCCCCTATTCGCTTTCTGATGGATTGGTGCGTGGATGGATGATACCACGCTGAAGATTGCCCCTGTCTGCACTATTACTGAACTGTGTAACAACTGGAACATCCTGCCACCACACCCCAGTTGCACGTGCGAGATTCGCCTTGCTACTACTCATCATGCTCTCGCCACCCGTGGTTGTGGTACTAATGTTTTGCCCTCTTTCATAACTCATGTCATTTCTTCAGTACCCAAATTCCCAGTGCTAAGTGAGAAGATAGAAAGGCATCTGATTAGGTATAACCCATATAGGATAATATAGATTGCGAAAAACATAGAAACCGCTATCTTTTTTAGTGATCGCATTGAATTGAACATTTGACATTTTCAGTATAGAATGTGGATACAAGCTACATTTTCTGTACGCATCCCCATTTGGAGTGTACAATGGATTTCAATATATATCTTCAGCAATCTCGGTGGGTAGAGACGAAGCACCGCATGCATCGAA